CCCCGACCGTCCACAAGTGGTTAGGCACCATTCCTTCCCCCCCGTACCATCCCAAATCCTTATCCTGACCCCTTCCCAGTGCTATATAGTCGTAATTTATGGTGCCTATTAATCTTGTTTAAATTACCAATCAAGCTGTCAATGTAATCAATCAGAGCTTTAATATAAGAACATAAGAACATAAGAACAAAGGTAACTGCAGAAGGCCTATTGGCCCATACGAGGCAGCTCCTATTCTATAACCACCCAATCCCACTCATATACTTGTCCAACCCGTGCTTGAAACAATCGAGGGACCCCACCTCCACAATGTTACGCGGCAATTGGTTCCACAAATCAACAACCCTGTTGCTGAACCAGTATTTACCCAAGTCTTTCCTAAATCTAAACTTATCCAATTTATACCCATTGTTTCGTGTTCTGTCCTGTGTTGATACTTTTAATACCCTATTAATATCCCCCCGGTTATGTCCATTCATCCACTTGTAAACCTCTATCATGTCACCCCTAACTCTTCGCCTTTCCAGTGAATGCAACTTAAGCTTTGTTAATCTTTCTTCATATGAAAGATTTCTAATTTGGGGAATTAACTTAGTCATCCTACGCTGGACACGTTCAAGTGAATTTATATCCATTCTATAATATGGCGACCAAAACTGAACTGCATAATCTAAATGGGGCCTAACTAGAGCAAGATATAGCTTGAGAACCACACCAGGTGTCTTGTTACTAACGCTGCGATTAATAAATCCAAGTGTCCGATTTGCCTTATTACGAACATTTATGCATTGATCCTTTTGTTTTAAATTCTTACTAATCATAACTCCCAGATCCCTTTCGCAATCCGACTTCGCAATCACAACACCATCTAGCTCGTATCTTGTAACTCTATCATCATTACCTAACCTCAGAACTTTACATTTATCAGCATTAAACTGCATCTGCCAATCCTTTGACCATTTCAAAACCCTATCTAGATCAACTTGAAGTGATAGTGAGTCCTCCTCCGAATTAATTTCCCTACCGATTTTCGTATCATCGGCAAATTTGCAAATGTTGCTACTCAAACCTGAATCTAAATCATTTATATATATTATAAACAACAGAGGTCCCAGGACAGAGCCTTGAGGCACTCCACTTACAACATTTTCCCACTCTGACTTGATTCCATTTATACTAACTCTCTGTTTCCTTTGGTATAGCCATGCCCTAATCCAGCTTAATATAGCACCCCCAATACCATGAGACTCTATCTTTTTAATCAGTCTTTCATGTGGCACTGTATCAAAAGCTTTGCTAAAGTCAAGGTATACAACATCGCAATCCTTACCACTATCAACTGCCTCAACAATGCTAGAATAAAAAGATAACAAATTTGTTAAACATGAACGGCCATTTATAAAACCATGTTGCGACTCAATTATTAATTTATGTTTTTCAAGATGAAGACGAATTTTATTTGCTATTATAGATTCGAGTAACTTTCCCACAATAGACGTTAGGCTAATTGGTCGATAGTTAGACGCAAGTGATCTATCTCCTTTCTTAAAAACTGGTATCACATTAGCAACTTTCCAAAACTCTGGCACTCTGCCTGACTCTATTGATTTATTAAATATGGTTGACAGTGGGTCACAAAGCTCCTCTTTGCATTCTTTAAGCACCCTGGCAAACACTTCATCCGGCCCTGGGGATTTGTTTGGTTTGAGTTTTACTATTTGTTTAAGAACATCCTCCCTGGTAACTGTTAAACTCGTCAACCTGTCCTCGTCCCCACCCACATAGACTTGTTCGGCTGAAGGCATATTGTTAAGTTCCTCTTTAGTAAATACAGATACAAAATATTTATTAAAAATACTACTCATCTCTTCATCACTATCTGTTATTTGACCTGTCTCAGTTTTTAATGGACCTATCCTTTCCCTAGTCTTAGTACGATATAACTGAAAAAACCCTTTAGGATTTGTCTTTGCTTGCCCTGCTATGCGAACTTCATAGTTTCTTTTTGCTTTCCTTATCTCTTTTTTAACATTTCTAACCAGTTGTACGAATTCCTGTTCTAAAGTGACCTCCCCATTTTTAATCCTTTTGTACCAAGCTCTCTTTTTACCTATAAGGTTCTTCAAATTCTTTGTTATCCACTTTGGGTCATTAGTATTCGATCTATTCAATTTGTATGGTATACTACGTTCCTGTGCTTTGTTTAGAATATTCTTAAATAAGTTATATATTGAATCCACATCGAAATCCCCATTTAAGTCACCTATCGCTGGGTTCATGTCTCGCTCCAAGACCGGCCCACACCCCATACCCAAGACTTTCCAATCAATTTGACCCAAAAAATTTCTTAGGCTATTAAAATCAGCTTTTCGAAAATCTGGCACTTTAACAGAATTTTCTCCTACTGGTCTATTCCATTCTATGCTAAATCTGATTTCTTTGTGATCACTGCTCCCTAGCTCACTCCCTATTTCGATGTCATTAATTTGCGTTTCCCTGTTAGTTAACACTAAATCTAAAATATTATTTTCCCGTGTTGGTTCCTTAATGTGTTGCGTAAGAAAGCAATCGTCAATTAATTCTAGAAAATCTTCTGCTTCACTATTCCCTGTTTTGTTCAACCAGTTTATTCCGCTAAAATTAAAGTCACCCATGACATAAATACTGTTAGATCTAGATGCTCTAGATATTTCATCCCATAGATGCTTTGCTTCCATTCTGTCTAAATTTGGTGGCCTATATATTACTCCTATTATAATATTATTAGCTTTTTCGTTTAATTCAATCCAAATAGTTTCTGTGTGTGGCTCTGTTTTGATTCCCTCTTTGAGACTACATTTCAAATTGTCCCTAACATATATGGCTACTCCACCTCCTCGTCTAATATATCTATCTGTGTGAAATAGTTTAAATCCATATATTTGATATTCAGCTAATAGTTCTCTATTTTCTACATTCATCCACGTTTCGGTAAGTGCAATAATATCTATTTTTTCTGTGCAGACAAGAGCATTTAATTCGTTAATTTTATTTCTTAGACTTCTACTGTTAGTGTAATATACCCTAAGTGAATTGTTATTTTGCGGACCTTCTCTTTCCCTGGTCGTTTTGCCATTTCCTTTCTCCCACAAACACATACTTTTATTACCTCCTTCCTCCAAATCAATTCCCATACCTCTATCTACTAACAGTTTAAACCCAAACAAACACCTCTAACCACTTCTTCTAACGAGTTCGCAACAGCAACAACCCCAGCTCTCGATAGATGCACCCCATCACGAGCATACATTTCATTTCTTCCATAGAAGTGTTCCCAGTTGTCTATGAAAGATATTGCATTTGATTTGCAATATCTTTCCAGCCGGCAATTGACACCAAGTGCCCTCGATATCCATTCATTTCCCACTCCCTTTCTTGGAAGAATGCCACATATGATCGGGATTCCTCCCTTGCTCCTAACTAACTCTATGGCTGTTTTATACCTCTGAATCAGTTCCTCACTCCTAACTCGACCAACATCATTTCCTCCCACGCTAATGCAAATAATGGGATTGTTCCCATTACCAGCCATAATATCATTCATGTTGTTTATAATATCACCAATGCCAGCTCCGGGATAGCAAACCCTTAACCTGTTCCCCCTATCTCTAGCACAAAACGTTCTATCCAAATACCTTATCTGGGAATCTCCCACAACTAATGTTTGCTTAGGTACTTCCTTTACCCTCTGAGGGGCCTGCGCTTCCTTTCTCTTCGTTGCTTTCCCTTTTGCGCGATCCACAGTCTCTCCACAGCACTCGTCCTCCAAAACGTCAAATGAATTAGAGGTTGCTATGGCGTTTGAAGGCGGCTTTATCAAAGTCTTCTTAAGGCCCCTGTCTTTCACAATATCAAAGTCTTCTTAAGGCCCCTGTCTTTCACAATATCAAAGTCTTCTTAAGGCCCCTGTCTTTCACAAGGCCCCTGTCTTTCACAATATATAATACCAATGTGCCTTAATATACTTACTACTCTCTCTCATCTCATTTTTTTCTTGCAATGTATCTGTTATCATTTTATTAATTCTGCTAGAATTTACCTACTTAAAATTATCTGTTAGATTAAGGACCTGCCCGAAACGCTGCGAGTACTAGTGGCATTACAAGATTGTAAATACTATGCTATGTATTCTCACAAACCCAATGTACCTTCTTGTATATAAATAAATAAATAAATAAATAAATAAATAAATAAATAAATAAATAAATAAATAATGGTTTGGCGCTTTTCCCCTGATAGTTCCCTTTTCTTTTTCCGATGTTATCATAAGATCTACTGTAGAATATGTACTATATTACAGAACTGCTAAGTGTATAGAGAAATTAAGTGGAAACTGTTGACCAGACCACACACTAGAAGTTGAAGGGGCGACGACGTTTCGGTCCGTCCTGGACCATTCTCAAGTCAATTCTTGGTCCAGAGAATGGTCCAGGACGAACCAAAACGTCGTCGCCCCTTCAACTTCTAGTGTGTGGTCTGGTCAACATACTTCAGCCACGTTATTGTGACTCATCGCCTGCTTAAGTGGAAACGTTCTCAACCATATCTGTTCCGCCCGGGAATCGAACCCGGGATCCCTGACAATGAATCGAGAACGAAGCCAACTGAGTAATCAAGATCTACTATTAAAGTTGTTTGATTCACTCCGTCAATTCTCGAGCCCTCAACAAAATAAATGGACCAAAACGTGGACTTTTTTCTGTGCAACAGTTCATATTGGGCACTTCCATTCATAGCTAAATGAGAGGTTAGAGCTGGTTTACAGGGGTAACAAGCATTAATAGTGTTTCCTTGTACTCTATGTTGATTGGGAGACACAGAATTGGCTCTTATTTTAGGCTATACAGCTAATAATCTCCTTACATATATTTAACTTAATCTGCTTAAAGCGGAATAGAGATACAGTGAAAGAATTTCAGATAATTTAGCCTCAACAATAAGGTTGAATTAAGTTCGTTACCCTCTTGGCGGCCAGTGAAGTTTGTTTTGAATGTCTGGGCGTGCAGGTGGTACTTGGCTGGTACTCTCGCCCTGGTACTCGTCCCGGTACTTCCGCTGAAGGCCGGTACACGTCCTGGTACGACGGTACACGTCTTGGTACGACGGTACACGTGTGAAGAGGTTAGTTGTGTATGAGTAAGAGAAGGAGAGACTAAGGGTGGAGCAACGTCTCTAGGCTTGACAAGCGACCCTTATCACTCTGGGTTGACTCCATTTTACTCGCATTAATTAATATTCGTCAATACGCGGACTTTACATTTGAGCTTCTTGTTATATTGAGGGTTTGAGGAGTGTAGACGAGCAAGGAAATTCCTTTGGGGCCTCCAGGGATCCCTCCCATCCTGTGGAGAGTTTGAAGTGAAGGCGGCATTTAATTACTACGTGGATTTTTACAATCCAGGTGCCTGGATTGTGAATCACAATCCAGGATGAGTGCACTGTGAATCAGTAGACCTAGACCACCTCCCACAGGCAAACCTTTTACAAATTTAAATTTTCTAGCTTCTAATAGTTGGTAAACTAGTAATGCTTATGGTAATTCACGGTGCAGTAATATGAGGTACTGGAGCACAATATATGTATCTAATACTATCACTTGGGAGGTATTTTTTGTTTTTAAGACATCAAAAGTTCATTTGGTGGCAGCTTTGGTTTTCTTAAAGTTTATTTCCCTGTTAAACCCATCCTTAATGTGTTTATATAATTGACAAATAAATAAAATCCTAAATATGCTTATTCTAAGGTTAAATTGGATGCATTGGTATGGCTTACATTATTATTGGCAGTGGTCTGGATTTAATTTGTAACTGTCATACACACTTGAGTAGTAACCGAGGATCTTGGAGAATCGTTTTCATGTCTTAGTAAAGGGTTGGCAGAAAAAATTCCCCAGCTTTAATAAACATTTACTATTAAAACTATCAACTTTACTAGTGGCTGTTTGTGTAATTCATTTATGGTCATCACAAGTTAAGGGTTACACTAGCTGTCAGCCTTTTATGTTGATTAGTGATCATTACTAATACAGTATAAGTGAAGGCGAGGAGGCACAATGCACATTCAACCTGAGAATGGTTCAGGATGGACCGAAATGTTGTCATCCCTTCACTTTCTAGTATGTGGTCTGGTCAACAGTATAAGTGAATTTGGGATCAGTTGATGCTTTCTGAATGCTTCATTGATTATGTATGTGATCCACATGTACTACAAGTTATTTAGTGTAATACATTTCTGCTTAAACAGTTTATTACTGGTTTGAGAGTTTACTGCCCAAGTGCTTTACATCTGCTTGATTATAAAAAAAAGTAAAAGTTGACAATTAATACTGCACTGTATTTTGTAATGAAGTAATTGTAAGTTCTTCACTTTTGAACATTAAAAGTTGTTTTGTTACAAGTAGGAATTGAAATTTAAGAAGTTGTTCACATTCCATAAACGTTTTGATACTATAGGGCTGATCTCATCATGGAAAGAAGACGAAGCAACAGCACGAAGGGAGCAGCACAGCCTGCCGAACATTTGGAGGAGGAAGGTAAGTGGATTGGCTTGGCACTACATGCATATTAAGATCTCATGGTAACCTATGTTTTATTTTTGTAGCAAAACTGCTTACCCTTTTAACTAGAAATTAAACACTGGCCAGTGGATTTGTTATATATTACTTGATGGACTTTTTAGTTTCTAATTTTTTTGTTTTTTTTTGCCTGATAGCTCTGGTAACCTCACACACTGAAGGTCCATTTGGATGTCTGCTCAATTTTCTTTGTCTATGCTTTATAAAATATTCTCTTTGAATGTTTAACTTAAAGGAATATTTCTAGGTAATTATTTTATTACAGACCCCCTTGACCATCATGTAGGCAGTGGCCAAAATCAGTCGCATAAGATTCAGAAACTAGGAGCTCGATGCTTTTTAAGCTAAAAAACTTGCATTTATGTTAAATTGCATTTTGTCCATCATGCCATTGGATGGCAGTGAAAAGGTAGTCACACAAATGAGCTCGGGAAGTGTATGCACTAAATATCATTCATTTATTTGAAGACTCATTCTCATTTTCTGGTACTACAGTATTGGCTTCTACTTGTCTCCATATTCCTTTTCCTTGTTGTATGGCTGCGACGTTCAAGGGCTCCCCTGTAATAATTGCCAAGCCTAAATATGTATAGTAGTACATAGCATAATCAAATAAACTCTGAAAAAGTAGGACAAGAACACATTCTGAGAACGTGCAGCAAACGTCTAGAAAATACAGTACAGTACTTGGATGGTTGCATCATCCATAGTTGTGATATCAGTACAATAGTTCTCTGTGCTGGTATCCTTTGCAGGGGGGGGGGGGGGGGGGGGCAGTTTCTTGGGCATCAGCTACTTTTGTGCAGCATGTTTCAAGCTTGTGCCCTGGGTTTTTTTCCCCTTGTCTTCAGAGAGGTAAGGCAGTGATACTCCTTTTGCAGTCCCATCTCTGGTATGCCCTGCCTTCTCGGCTTGTATCTGGTGGGGCTGGGTACCGGAGGTTGGTGCACCTGGCTTCTCTGTTCTTTATCCTGTTGTGGGATCCGACTTGTTTTGGGCTTTGGTGCCCTGTCCTTTGTCAGGGTTAGTGTTTCAGAGGCTTCTCTAGGGATTGTCCTGCCTGTGCCTAATGTCAATGTTTGCCATTTTTAGTTATTAACACTATGGTTGGGGAGTTTTATTTTTTTAGGTTTAGTTCACATTTTTTCTGATGCTGTATCTGGTTCTCTGGCATCACTTGGGGATCTAGACTCCTTCCTGGGGCACTTTCTGTTAAGACTCCTGGAGCTGGGAGGTGCCAGATGTTGGCTCTTCAGTGCCTTTTCATCCATCATGGTTCCTGACTGTTAGTCCTCTATGTGGTAACGTTTTTTGGCTTTCCTTGTGAGTGGGGATTTCTGTGTGATGTTTGGTGTATCAGATTCACCTCTCGGGTTTCCAATGTCTTGTGTTCTACAGGCTGTGTCGCAGGTGGCCTTACTTTAGTTCGTGCTCTTGGACCGGATCTGTGCTTCTGTTTTAACACTGGTTAGTGGTTTCTATCTTGTTGTTGCTGGTGGATGCCCCCCCCCCTCTTCTTTTTTTTTCTTTCTGTGGACTGGTATGGGGTTGGGTTGGTGGTTTTTGCTTTCTTGGATGTGGTGTTCCAGTCTTGAATAATCACCTTATTTGCATGGGTCCTGCTGCATCATGTTGGGACATGGTGGTTGCATGTGTGTGTCACATAGTTTGACATCTATGGATCACATCTGGTTTGTCAGCAGGTAGTGTTTTCCTATGTTTGGGAGACACGTGGTAAATAGTCTTATTTTTGCCACCCGTTTTTCTTCTCTTTGTTTATGGCTGTTGGAGTGTCTCATGACTGGGGGAGGGGGGGGGCAGCTGTTATGAACCCCCTCAGTCAGGTGTTGTTGGAGCACAACTTGTTCCTAACTTTGATGCCACGTGTGCTGTTTTTCCAGGGTGCATTGGCTGGTTAGGGTAGTGCCATCAGCCTCTTCTCGGCTGTGTCGGTCCCATTCCTCACTTTGATAGATGACCTGTAATGGCTCTTCTCGTGTCCTTTTGTGGTATACCAGTTTACTGATTGGAAAGTGTGTGGCTGGCCTGTGTTCTTAAGCCAGGTCTTGCAATGCCTGGGGTCCTGAAGGTGTCCCTGATCCTTGGGTAGTGGTGGTGGCATTTTCCTTTTGGTGGATTTTTCCCGTGGGCATCTCTTTTGCTGGGTCATCATAGGATATCGGATGTGGGCTGCAGTCAGACAGACCCCCCCAAATGTGTTGGGCATCTTGCTATCTTCTGTATCCCAGGCAGGACATGCCAGGGCCACTGTTCATTCTTTGCATTATATTTGCATCACCACCTGTTGATTTTGGGTTCGGCTTTTCCAGGCCATTTGAGATGTGTCTTTTGATGGTTTCAGTCTCTGCTATTCTCTGCATGTGGAGTTTTTTAGGTATGGATTCTGTCCACCTATTTGATACTCCAATCTCTGTTCTCTCGGCAATAGTGTGGGGTGTGATGGTGTACTTTTTGCCTTTTTGTTGTTGTTGTCTAGTGTTTATCCTCTTATTTTATTTATTTTTTGTATTTCTTGCTGGAGGGCCTTTTTTTTTTTTTTTTTTTTTTTTTTTTTTTTGCTTTCAGGATTACTAGTCTGCCCTGTGCTTTTTGGTGTCCCAGGGAGGTTGGTTTCCCTTTGCACTTTGATAATTCCAACAGACTTGCTGTCCTAATACTATACTGAGTAACCCAATCACTTGGGTTGGACGGTAGAGCGACGGTCTCGGTTCATGCAGGTCGGCGTTCAATCCCCGACCGTCCAAGTGGTTGGGCACCATTCCTTCCGCCCGTCCCATCGCAAATCCTTATCCTGACCTCCTTCCCAGTGCTATATAGTCGTAATGGCTTGGCACTTTCCCCTTTTTGTATTTTATACACTTAAATTAAAAATACTGAGTAAACCATTTGAACAGGATATGAAATTTTAAGTTATATTTAAGAAGTAAAAGTACTGTAGTACATCTATTTGTATACTGTAATAGGTAAGCTGTCGATACACTGTGTATGGTCATTTCATTCTTGTATTATTTTCAATGCAGATGGTCATGATGAACTACTTGGCTCTCGTTTAGAAATAGAGTTGAATCGCAGTATTGAAAAAATGAGAGAAGAGGAGAAAGCCTTCCCAGGTTGTCACGGTCGTAAGTAAAGCCGAGGGCTATTACAATTCGTTTGCAATTTTGTACTCTCCTGCAGCCCCTCCTGACTAGCCCCATGGCTTTCATGACTAGCTTAGACTCTCACCATACTACAGTATTTTTCTCTTAAAATACTCATTCATAACCAGATTTTCTAATTGTGTTCAAAGCAATTGCCTGATAATTATTGTAATTAGAGGCCCTGCAATTTTGTTGAATTGGAACTGCCATGGAAATTAATAATTCTGTTTTTGATACGTGCTTACAAGACAATTATGCTATACAGCATTGTACTAAAATTCAAAAAAATTTATATATGCCTCCAGAAAAGCAGTCTGTATCAGAATTAAAATATCTACCCAATATTTAATTGTTTTTTTCTCTATTGGTATTTTGTTTAACAATATGCATGTTGTGCAGGTTCAGAGGACTTTGTCAACAGCTATAATAATGGGAGTGTTACAAGTGGCTCACAGAATGATGCTGAGGAACTGTTAGAAGATATCGAGATGCCAACTATGAATCTTAGCCAATGGGAAAATTCAGACCTCATATCTGTATCGTCTGTATCTCCCATTAGTCCTATTAAGGCCCGGGGTTCTAGTAAGGTGGGTAATCCTAGCACTTGAAAGTTGTACTACCCTTTTGCTAGATAGAGCAAAGTCGCTAATCCTCAGCTACTTGGGCTACATTTTTCTGTTTAAGTGGAATAATAAATGCACTTAATGATAAAATGCTGTATAAATTGGAAGACAATATTTAACTAGAAAAACAATGCCACAATAAAGTCTGTAGATGCAATATGTAATTTCTTATTGAAATATTAACCAAATTATGCAGGTGGTCAATGTTTTGGCCCAGTACAGGGATCGGCCAGGTGTAGGACTGCAGTTAGCCCCTTTGTTTTATCCCTTTCCCTGTGAGAAGTGATCAATTGCTCCATCAGGTCTTGGTACAAGAGTGGATGGTGACCTGTCTGTGTTCCCACCTATATGTTGTTACTTTATCCAGGTTCTCAGGTTACCAAAACTAGAATTTGAGTTTGGGATGGCCTGCTATCTCTAGTCATAAAAATCATCACTCCTTGATATCTCCCAAATATAATAATTTATTTTAGGTTGTGCAAGTTCTGATATTTGATGTAAAGTTACATAATTTAGCAAGTGTTTTCATCATGGTCAGAGCACTTTTATCATTATGAATGCTATAATGATTAATGGTGAATACAAAAATAAAATTAATATAAATATACAAAGAGAAATTAACAAATTGGTACAGAATTGGGGGGAATGCAGAATATGCTTATTGGTTGTATTTATTATATTCCATGTATTTGTAAACTTAGTGCTTGTAATAGGGTTACTGTATGTACTTTGAAACTTTTCATTTATATAATTTTTTTTTTTTTACTAATGGTGATTTGTTATGGTATAGTATATAAAAGAAAACTCACTTTTCTTAGACAAGATGTCATTGCAGATGACCACAGGGCTGGTGTGCACTTGGTGCCGGTTGTGCTTTTTTGGTCTCCTTAGAGGCTTTCTCTGAACATCTCTGCAAGGACATGATATGCTTGGGACCTAGTCCTGCAGTGCTGACTTCAGCAGCCTTCCCCAACATGTTTGGCCCCTATCCTTTGGGAGGAAGTGGTGGCATTTTACTTGGCTCACTTTTCATGTTGACAGGCTGTGCTGGCCTGGGGCCAGATTCACGAAGCAGTTACTCAAGTATGTAGAGTACTAACGAACGTGTACATCATTCCTCAATCTTTAATCTTTGACGGCTTTGGTTACATTTATTAAACACTTTACAAGCATGAAAACTTCCCAATCAACTGTTATTGTTATAAACGGCCTCCTGGTGTTCGGAGCTCATTAACTGTTAAATGATTGTAAACAAAGCCGCCAAAGATTGAGAAAAGATGTACAGGTTCGTAAGTGCTTGCATAACTTTGTGAATCATGCCCCTGATTATTAGATTTGGACAGGTCTTTAACCCTTTTGTCTGCCCCCCCCCCCCCCTTTTTTTCCCTCCTACTTCACTGAAGTGGCTGTTTGCCAGGTTCTTGCTGTTTCTGCATGTTGTCCAGTATTTATTTATTTATATTTATTTATTTTACTTATTTTTGTTTATTACCACTTTTTAGAGGTGGTCTGGTAGGGTTGGGGCCTCACTTGCTGTGGGTCAGGGGGAGGTCCTTGGTGGAGCTAGCTAGATTCCAGGGCATTTGAGCTTTCCTCTGCAGTGCCTTCTGTTCATCAGCGCCATTTTGTGTCACAGAAGAATGGTGTTACTCGTGGTTCATGCAAGCCATTGTGAGATTCGCCTCATTGATGGTGAGGTGAATCTGAACCAGAGCCAGGTTCTGGTCCCCCCAGTGAGCCAAAAATACAGATGTGACAGAAGTGGGAAGCCATTTGAGCTTCAGAGAACCACCAGGCCTCTACAGAGGCATTTCATTACATTCAATGTTGGGTTTTTTGGCATGGGGTAGAGTACCTGTGACTGGAAAGAGTACTGATATTACTCAAGGTTCTTCTGCAACCAGTTGTCACCCCTTGGTGACTATATAAGCTGTTGAATGCTAGTGCATCTGTATTTTTTTTTAAGATTACATGGCAACCTATAATTATTAGTTTTCAATGTTTTGTTTCCAGTCTATGATAAATTACAAAAACTATTTAATTCATTTAAACTTCTAGATTGAAATTTCAAGCAGTTCTTCGTTTGTAGCAGCTGAGAATACGATAAATGTACGAGAAGAAGTCTCGGACAAACACATGACTAGACAAACTGTACAGCAAATAGCCTCATCCCCAGACATGACTGAAGAAAAAATTCCAAGAGAAATGAGTAAGTCTAATCTTGAGTAGCATTGTGCATCATAAAACTGCTTGGGAACTTAAAAGTTATTACTTGTACAGTACATCATTTCTAAAGATAATGATTGCTTTTCAGGGCAAGTCCCTTTGGTAGTGCCCCTGTAGCTTATATCACTGGAATGATTTCGATAATGAAAGTTCGTCTATACTGAAGTAATTGGAATTTGTTTAATGATAAATATTTTTCAGTTGACCATTGGATGTCTTATAGTAGTTCTTCTTTCACAAAGGCAATTTTCATGCTTAGTTTGATGTCATCCATGAAGGATGGCAAAACTGTGGGTTGTATTGCTAAATCTTTCTATCGGGATTAGGAAGATTAAGGGTACGTTGTGTGATTGAGCTTCGTATCTTTCCCAGGCTGGATGTTGATTTATTGTCACTATTTGCAATCCGTTTAAAAATGTATAATCCACACCTCTACCTGTTATTTCTTTAGCTTTCATTTTATGGGCTACTAATGATAATGTGACATTGCCATTTTGGTTTGCTTTTAATGCTTATATAATAATAATTGCAAAAGAAAAGGTCTTCCCACTCTGTTTCAGAGCCGACCTGGGTTGCATAGCTGCCTGCTTTTGTGTAAAACTGGCAAGTTGTCTTTTTCCACACCATGGGAATATTTGTACATTTGGCTTTGCTGCTGCCTTCCTTGTGGAAGTTGGCCCCAAGCCCCAAGGGCATTACTTAAAGGGCAACTAGGAAAGGTGACCCTAGGTGCATGCAGCCCGAGTACTTGGGAAATTACTCCTGGCTTGCACACCACCAGAGAAGACTCGCCCCACACCACAAGGCGAGCACTCTTTCAAAAATCTTAATGATATGTAATATTAGTGCAACTTTTCTAATTCTTTTGTACCATGTTCCTTGTGCAGAAATGTCTGCAGTTTTTATGGTATGCATGATGTCTTCTATCTTTAGGGTTTTTCTCTATTATATTGAATGCCCGTACCATTTTTATTTTACGTGTGTTTTATAAGCGATGAATTCCAGGAATCCTGCTCTGGAGCAAAGTGCATGGGCATATTGCTTATTTCCTGTGTTGCATTTGTAATATGACATGTGCCTTTCTGTGTGTGTGTCGAGCTCATCGACAAGGTTTCAAGATTTTTACTTTAGCAATGTCCATTGCATTGCTAAACTTTGATTCCCATTGCTTCCAGGGCTCCACCTGCTTGGGATATATTGTTTATAGCTTTGGCTAACATGTCACACACCAATCTGCTGCCTTTCATGGCAGCTTGTCAGGCTGTAGCCTTCTTCAGCCTTCCAGCCTTTACTGTTGGCTTGGACTCCAAAAATAATTAGTCAACTTAGTTCCGAGATGAATTTTGTTTTTCGGTGTTGAACATTCTCCAAAGCAGACGTGCCCTTCTAATGATGGCCTCGTGCTTGGATGCAATAGTTCAAATGGGGGGAGGGTTACCTCGGATTTCTACAGTAGAATAACTACCTTTTTTTTTTCTTTTCTCTTGAAGTCAAAGATTATATTAACTATTCCTAGGGTTTGGGTTGCCTTTTTTTTTTCTTACTGTAGTTCCTCCCCCACTTGTGTAACTTTCAGTAATTGGTGAATTCTGTCTCTTGAGTTCCCTTTCTTCATCAATCGGCTGCAAAGTAATGTTATTGTTTTGGTAATTTACTGTGCATTATGTCCCACGTGAAAGGTGTTGCATGAAACACTCCCAGTCCTCTGCACTTGTTGATGCCTAGCTAGTGTGGGCAGTGCCACAAGCAGATGAAGGCTAGTAACCATTGTCTGGTTACCATGTGCCTTCCAGCCTTGCAATAAGAGAAACGGTAGTATTTATGAATCTTTTTAGAAGGTTGTATATTCAATAAATTCATTATCTTTGTTCAAATTGTTCTGTAATCTCTAGTTTTGATTTTTATTGAATTTATTGACTGCATTTCATGTTAGATTATATTTTAACCTATTTCTTATGTTTATTGTTTGCAGATGTATATGAAAAATTGGCTTTCCTAAGTGCTCCTTCAGCTGCCTGTGTCAAGACCTTGGTGTCTATTGATGAGGTAAGCAGTGTTTGTTAAAACAATTGTCATTCAGTTGTCCTAGTAGTCTAACTAGAATTTTCATAATTACACTAAAGACTGGCACACTAAAAAATCTGGAAAAGGCATATGAATTACTGTATTACCGTAAGGTACTGTATTAACAGGAAAGTCATAAAAAAAAAAGGGGAAAGTATAACAAATGGGGTTTCTGAATGCTTGTTCTGTGATCATTTGGTACTCCTAATCTATTAATGACACAAAGAGAATGTTGATTTCTTACATGTTTGTAGTCAATGTAAAATTAATGGAGAAAATAACTCTATGCAAATGTGTTAACACTCAAAACTCCCTCTGGAAATGGTTGGGAATTGGGCACTGACCCAATTCCCCAATAAACTGAAATGAGTGATAAATTTTCTCAAATACCCACCACCACCACTACCCGATAGAGGGGCCCCTTTTAATGTTTCCTGATACCATGTCTACTGGCCAGCATGCCTTTTGGACATTGTCCATACACTCGGTGTCCATGGTTATAAACATTTTGAGTTTGTAAACTGGTTACCAGGAGTTTTTCATTACCTTAGTACTCCTCGGCTCTTGTATGGTATGCTCTTACTGTCTTGCATAGCTACCACAGCAAACCACATGCAGGTAATTACAGTTTCCCAAGTCAAAAGGTGGTTAAAACCAATTTAGTCTACAGCTCTAAAAGTACATATAGTACTATAAAACAGTTAAGAGATTTAGAGTAATGTACAGGCATTTATTCCGTATCCACAAGGATTGGACCTAATGGAAAATTTAAACCTGACATTTTTGGGTACCATATGTTTGTCTCTGGGATAAAAAAAAGTTAACTACTATTTAGTATTTTTTCATTCTCCATGGCACAATTGTAGAAGTAAAAATAATAATAATGGCAAGCTGCTGAAATGATTGGTTCACTGGAACCCAAAGTTTGACATGTATGATGAGCAGCAGCTATCCACATGATGCAAATGTACGATTAAAATGTACGATTAATCTACTGGTCAATTATATAATTTTCTTTGTATTATTATTCTTGATATAAATGATAGCTTTGATCTCTTTGCAGGCAAATACAGACAAGAACGTTTTACAAAATAAATCATATTCATGTGATGCCTCACGGAAGGAGTCGAGCGAGAGTGAGTTAGACCTGGGAGATGAAGCTGCCAACACCACGCCACAAGCCTCCTTGCCTGATCTTCAGGTGACACTAGGAACTGGCCTTGAGTTACTGGGTATGTAAACTCGTTATTTTATTCACCTACAGTTTGGTTTCAATTTGCTCCCATGACTGCATGTACTGTATATGAAAGTAATCAAATGTGAATCGCATTTTTATGGATATTAAGGGGTGTTTGTTCTATTGTAGGGAGCATATAGGTTGATCTTGATATATACACGAGCACTACTGTAGAAGTTAAAATTCTCCTTCCAAGGATATTATGCTTTGCTAACTATAATAATGCCATACTACTCTTTTTAGCTGTGCAGTACTATACTGTATAGACATTGGTGTTATTCCAGTAAATTGGTTTTTGTTTAACTTCTATAGTGCTTCCACCTCATTCATAAATACCACATCAGCCACCGCAGCAACATTACTGCCTTCACATTACCACAGTTGCTGCCTAATGTTTTTGAATGGGAGTAAACACCCATTTGTAAAAGTTTGCAGATGACACAAAGATAATGAGGAATGGGAAAATAGAGTACTACAGAAAATTTCAGTAAGGCTTTGACTGTCTCCATGAGTGGGCAGACAAATGGCTATTACTGTATTTCAGTCTTACCAATTATAAGGTATTGAAAATGGGGAAGGGCAACGGCAGAACACAAAGAAGCAACATAATAGGCATAAAATGAAGGCAACTATTGTACAAGAATTAGAAAGGAAAAATTTAAGTGAATATTATTTTGAATATTTAAACTTGAGAGAGACAAACAGGATAAAATTGGGTATATAAAAAGAATTTATAATTCTAACAAAGATCTTTCAAAGCAATCTGTACAGTGTGTGTGTGCGTGCGAGATAACAATACCAGAAGTTGTAGTACCAGAATGGAATCTACGTTTATAAGCCTGAAAACGATACTTGAAAAATTACAGAAGTTTGTAAAAGACAAGTACTGTACAGTAATGCAAGTACTTTAAAACAGTGAGTGTTAGTAAGTGTGGGTGGGTGGGTTTGTGTGTGTGTGCACGTGCAATGATTCAGTTCCCGTATTGTTTGACATCCCTGTTCCATGTTTCGATCTATGCCTCGCGGTGCAGTTCCTAGCTTTGAACATTGCTTCTTTGTCTAATTTGTCAATTTTCCTTACTACCTTTTATATCATTACCATGTTTCCCTCCTATTCCTTACCTCCTTCAGTGTGGTGAGGTTGTCTTTATTCATATTTCGGTTACCTCAGTTCGGGAACAAGTTTGTTGCATATCTTTGGACACGTTCTATTTTTGTTTTTGGATATTTCAGGTGGGAGTTCCATTCCGGAGCTGTATACAGAGATGGCTCATTAATTCTGATCATATGGGGTGGACCCCCATCAGAGTTATACAGTACAGTGATCCCAATTGTATGGAGATTGAAGTTACCCTGATTTTTTAATGCACCTTACATTTTACAATTTTGTTTTCCACTTTAAAATTAAACTGTATTTATAAATGATTTTTTCTTTTTTTTATTTAATCACAAAAATGCTGAAAATAAATAACTACCAAAGAATAATGTAAGGAAGGATGATAGCTTGATGGTGGGAGGGAAGGAGGATGCATTATGCGGGGCTGCCTCGGCTATAATATCCATACGAACTGCCAGAGAAGCAGTATGGCAGTTAAATTGGTAAAGAATGTTGAAGCAGTAGTTCATCAGTTGTCTGTCAAATCGGTCATCTGTGTTGCAAACATGATGGGCTCAGTCAGCCAATGCCTGTAGTTGTTGGCCGACTCCTGCTGTGATAGTTTTTTCTCATTTTAATGTATATACTTTTGCACCTTTCACGCATTCAGAAACTTGTATTTCCTTCATTCATTCACTTATTCTTGTACACTCTTAAGTTCACTCATACACTTTAACATACAGGAAAACAGATTCACGGAAAATAAAAATGTGTGAAACACAAAGTTTCACAGTGTGTTTGTGGAAATAGTTTTCATAGAACCAGATACAATAAGAATTTCAAAGAATAAGTGTACACAGAGGCATCTTGAGATGAATTGGAAAAGATGCTCGACGAACTAGGTAGAAACAAGGCAAGAGGCCCAGATGAGGTTTCATCTGGGTTGTGAGAGAATGTGCATCAGAGTAGTCATATTTGAGTCTTGGCAGGTATATGGACAAAGGCAAACAGAGTTCCAATTAACAAAAGTTATAGCAAGGAAGACCCCCTCCCCTTAATTATAGATCTGTATCATTGACAAGCATGTTAGTCAAAACTAGAAAAATTAATTAAAACCAAAAAAATAATCAAAATCAAATGGGCAGAACACCTAGAGAGAAATGGAACAGTGTGTGGTTTTTCAAATGGGAAGATTCTGTGTAACAAATCTTGATTTCTATGACAGAGCCACAGAAATTTTACAGATAGTTGGGTCGACTGCATTTTTGTATTATGGTACAAACTGTCACCGAGGACCACATAATGAACAATGTGCAAGGAGCATATGCTATGCTTTCCAATTTCAGAAAATCTTTGAAATAAGTGGATGGCAAAATATTCAAAATTTTTTGAGGACAAAATTAGAATATGCAGCAGTTGTATGGTGCCTATATCTCAAGAAGCACATCAATAAACCGGTTGAGGTGTGAAGGAATGTTCAAGGAACTTTAAAAGTTTCTAGGAGAGGCTAAAGTTTGTATCTTCTAGCTTTGGTATATTTAACAAAAGGTGATATGATCCTTTACAAAATAGTAACAAGAATTTACAAAATTAACATTTTTTTTTATATTTCAACTTTTTAGAACAAGCGGACATAGGTTCAAACAAAGGAAACAAAGCTGCTGAAATAACATTAGCAAGTTCACCTTGGCAAACAGTGGTAGATGGTTGGAACAAGTTAAGTGAGAAAGTTGTGGAGGCCAAAGCCATCGGTAGTTTCAAAGCGTTATGACAGAGCACTGGGAATACAGAACACCACAAGCATAGCTCTCGTCCTGTAACTATACTTAATTACACTAAATTATAGACCCATATCTCTGACAATAGTAGTTAAAACATTGGAAAAATAATTATAAAGCAAATGGGTAGAATACATAGAGAGAAATGATACAGTAAGACAGTATAACTTTGAAACAGCAAGATCATGTGCAACAAATCTTAATTTCTTTGATAGTGCATCAAAGATTTTACAGGAAAAAGATGGTTGGGTTGACTGCATTTATCTGGACCTAAAAAAAAAAAGGCTTTGACAGTCCCACACAAGCATGTTCTGAAAACTCCAACATGCTGGAGGGGTGACAGGCAGACTGCTGACATGGATGAAAAATTTTGCCAGAAAATTGAGGGCAATAATCTGAAGCAATGTGTTAAGTGTTACTAGCAGAGTACCACAGGAATTGGTTCTTGTGCTAGTAAGGTTCATCGTAAACATAAATGATCTACCAGAAGGAATACAGTATTATACGAACATATTTGTTGATGCTAAGACACCAGGGAAGATAAGAAACTTCGATGGTTGTCATGATCTTCAAGACAACCTGGACAAAATTAGTACATGGAACACCTGGCAAATAAAATTTACTGTGAATAAAGGCATGTTATGGAATGAGGAATGAGAGATAATGAGCCACACAAACCTACAAATTATGTGCAAAAAGCTTCGAAGGATTCTGATAAAGATCTAGGGGTGGTTCTAGACGAAAAGACAACCGAAGATGTTGAAATAATGTTCATGACTTGCAAGACCAAAACTTTACACATACCTACACATAATCATATAACCTTATATGAAAAGACGTTTTAAAAACTTGCACAGATTTTGGGGTGGTTTTGGATAGTAAACTATCACCAAAGAATCGCATCAGAGGCGTTACGAGAGGTGCATATGTATTTAACTCCTGTATATGGATGAAATCCAATACTCGCAAAACTGTTAATAACATTTTGAGTGGAATGTTAATATGCTGCAGTTGTGTGGTGTCGGTGTCTCGAGAGGAGGCCTGGTCGAGGACTGGGCTGCGGGGACGTTGAACCCCGAAATTGCAAGGTAACTGAGAAGCACATCAATAAACTAGGACGGATGCAAGGACACGCTAATAAATAGTTTCCAGAACTAATAAAAATAAATAGCTGTGAGAAGAGGACAGAGGTATTTTAATATGCGAAAGGTGGAAGATGGATAGATAAAAGGTAATATGATCATATACAAAATAGGTATGGAAGTTAACAAGGAAGATTTGTTAAAACTTGTAACTTAAAGAACAAGAGGACACAGATTCATGCCCAGAAAACAACGTTGCTGGAAAAAATTTGTGACAGTTCTCTTTACGAACAGAACTGTAGACGGTTGGATCAATTTGGGTGGGAAGTTGGTTGATCCCAAAACTATCGGTAGTTTCAAAGCATCACATAACATAGGTTATAGGGAAGATGGGACACCCTTAGCATAGCTTTTATCCTGCAACTTCACTTGTGTAATTACTCTTATTCTCGTGCACACATTTATACGTTCATTTTTGCAGCAGTTTGATTGTTTTTGTTTTTTGTCATCTTAGTATTGTTAAAGGAAAGTGTTGGACAAGTGATGTCCAAGGGAAGCTTGTACTACAGTGAGAACTGGAGGGAGGAGGGTGGGGGGGGGGGGAACAAGTGAATATTGGATTGACAGTCAATTTAGGTGATACTCGCCTAAATTATTATTTACTTGGCTACTATTGTGTAAAAAAAAAAAATGATTATCATGGCCTGATTAGGAACATGATGATGATAAATACCTGTTTCTCAGATTGGAAACTAATTGAAGTTCAGACTAGCATGGGCAACAGACCTGTGCTGCCAGTCCCAAATACTGGAGGAGGAGAACTCGGCAAAATAAATTTCAATAATGCACAGCTTAAATGGGAATTAATAAAACAAGACCTCAGAAATAAGCTAGAAAGGGCAGCTAGAAAATACAAACCTAAAAAAGTCTTGAAAAAATACGCCAGTTGCTCTAGAAATATGCTAAAGCCACAAATTTTTAAGAAAATAGAATATAAAGATGCAAATTAAAATGGGAATGGCATTTCCTCTATAGGTATCAAGAAATCAAATTGCAGAACAACTTGAATGCCACACTATCCCAAGAATGACTAGTAAGCCCATGTAGAGAAATACTGTACAGTACTCGATTGAACTCGAGCTGCAAGAATCGTATAAAATCTAGGAGACGCAGAGAGTGTGAAAGGCCATCAGTGAAATAAGAGGAATTCAAAATAGCTTTTTCCTCGTACGCAAAATTGAGATCTAAAACTGCATCTAGTATTGGGCCCCTGAGCAAGGGAGAGGGAACTTTCACAGATGACAACAAAATAAGTGAAATACTGAGAATATAGTATAAATCTGATTTCAGTTTACCTCTAAACACACTGAAAATTGATAACCCAAATGATTTCATGAATGTGATACCAACATTCAATCATTTATAATACTTCACCCTATTCCCACTGGACTTTGAAGAAGCCATAGACAGTATGTCTTTGCACTCTGCACCAGGAATTCAAATAATCCTTAATTATTAATTCAATAATCCAAAATTGTAAAAAAACCACATCACTGGCTCTAAAACCTCTTTTGGAGACGGGGTCTAGATATTGGTATTATTCCCGACATATTTAAAGCATTGGAGATAGCAACATTCTGTAAAGGAAGGAATAATGCAGAGGCAAAATATTATAGACTGATAATATTAACATCAAACATACTTCTTAGCCCTCTTTCAAGGGCTTTTATTAAGATAACAAAACTCGTAGAATCTGAGTCTACTTAACCCTGGACAACGTGATTTCAGAATAGGAGGGTGCTGCCTCGCTCAATTGCTGAACCACTAAGACATGACCTTAGCTGCCATGGTTGACAAGCAAAATGCTGATGTAATGTACTCAGATTTTGCAAGAGCTTTTGACAGAAGTGACCATGGTGTTATAGCACACAAAATATGCTCAAAAGGAATTATTGGAAAAATAGGAAGATGGATATTCAATTTCCTAATGAACAGAACCCAGTGTGTCATAGACAATGAAGTTAAATCTAAATCGTCCACTGTGAAAAGCTCGGTACCCCAGGGTGTACTGTGCTTGCTCCATTACTTTCTCATTCTCATCTCTGGCACTGTCAAGAACACAGAGTATAGTACCATATCATTCTTTGTAGATGGCACTATGATTTTTATGAAAGTTGACAATATGGAGGACACAGCAAACCTCCAATCTCATGCAAGTCTGGTCTCTCAATGGGGGGCCACAGAAAATATGATTAATGAGGATAAGCTCCAGCACCTGTGCTATGGCAAAAATGAAAGTATAAAAATGGAAATCACACAATGCAGTCAAATCACACTATAGAATGGAAGAGCAATGAAAGGATCTGGGAGTAATCATGTCAGAAAACCTTACTTTCAAAGAACTCAATAAAGTAGTTGTCACAATTGTAAGGAAATAGTGACAGGTTGGATAACAAGAACCTTTGAAACAAAAGACCCAATGATACGCTTCAAGATACAAGTGCTCTCTAGGGTGGTATATTGTTGCACTATAACAGCCTCTTTCAAAGCTAGAAAAATTGCTGTCCTGGAGAGTATGCAAAGATTCTTGACTGCTAGAAACCATTCAGTAAAACAAATAAATTACTGGGAATTATTAAAATCTTAAATTTTGTATTTTTAAAGTGCAGGAGGGAGAGAAAAATAATAAGAATGTAGCAACTCTTGTATATAAAAAAGAAAAAATATTTGAGGGACTAGTTCCAAATTTGCACATGGAAATAACATTGCATGAGACCAGGAGGTATGGCAGAATGTGCAAATTAGCTCTGTTGAAAAACAAAGGTACCATAGGCATTTTGACAATTCTATCAACACCAAAGGCCCAAGACTAACACACTTCCTCTTCACATAAGGGGCATAATTGGCCAACAGTTCAAAAGAACTTGATAAACACCTCCAAAAGATACCTGCTCAACCAGGCTGTGATTCATGTCAGGCTGCAAGCAGCTGTGTCCAACAATCTGGTTGACCAGATCACCAACCAGGAGGCCTGGTCAGACCTGGCCGTGGAGATGTTGATCCTCGGAATCATCACAAGATAACCACAAGGTCAGATAGCTGTATCATATGATAATAGAATAGTGTATCTTTTTTATAGTATTATAGGGCCATCAAGGCCTACCATAATATTCATACATTTTCCATAAGATTAATGACAAGCACCTGAAAAACTAATTTTATATAAATTAAAATCTTTCCAGATATTGAGAATATGAATGATAGCCTACTTATTTCATCATTCCTGGAAAGGTTTTCTAACAAGGTCAAGAATACTGGAATAATCCCCGTTGCTCCATCTCAAATACTGGAAACAGAGGTTTGTTGACACAACTTACTTAGATACTGTTCAGTGATAGTAGATGTTTTAATTTCATGCAAAGATTTTATAATTAAAGTACTATACCAGTTGAAGCCTTATATAAAACTTCTCTTAGCTCATAGGTAACAAACTACCATTCAAAATTAATTAATTTTTAGTGGAAATAATCATGCTTTTAATGCCAATGCTATAGGTGATGCAGCAACTGATAAATTTCTTTTTGCAGAGTTTGCTTTATATTTTGCATGTAGTGTATACACACACACATTCAAGATAGGTTTAAATGGACATACAGTACTTGCAGATGAAAAGTATACCAAGTCAAATTAAGGAAGTGTGCTGTTGGTGAAAGTTCTCACCAGAGGACAATAAAGAATATAAAATATTGATGGATAATTAATGAACCCATTAAGGAATACCTTGTAGTTTTCATCAAATAAATATTTTTATTACTAAAGTTTGGTGTTTGTGTTGTCGTAAGACCGGTGAGGGAACCTATCTTATGAAAACTAGTTTTCTTAGAGAAGATTTCATAAAGCTGCACATTGCATTATGCACTGTAGTCATTCAAATATGTCACAGACTTAAAGATCAGGTTTTATTAATATAAGTTGCATTTGAAGGCTGCAGAGAGTACCTTAACCCTTGCACTGCTCACCTATTTTCGGCAAAAACTTCTTTGTGCAATTGTCAAGGACATATTTTTGTTATTTTTACAAATGTTCAGGTAAATTTAATGTCAAAATGTTTCCAAAGTCAACTATTTCCATTTCAAAACACAAATAGTAATGAAAACATTAAAAAACATTAAAATATAGCCAAATTAAAAAACAAAAAGCACAACTCTCTGAGCGCCTAAAGGTGCTTTGCGCAGTGCAGTGGTTAAAAGGCCACAACTTCCCCCCCCCTCCCCTCCTGTCTAAGAAAACACTTTCATATATTAGCTTGAAACTTAAAAGCTATATGTATGATTATGCAAAGAAAGTTCCAATTATTATTTGGCTATGTAGCCTCTTGTGGCAGAGAAGAAATATTAAACACATGTAGACCAAACCACACACTAGAAAGTGAAGGGACGGCGACGTTTCTGTCCGTCCCGGACCATTCTTGTCGTTATCCCTTCACTTTATAGTGTGTGGTTTGGTCAACATTTTTCAGCCACATTGTGACTCCTCGCCTGCATAAACACGTGTATAACAATAACCAAGTTATATTGACCTCATTGATACTGGTAGGAGCTAGTAGTAGAATGAATAATTTTGTCCTAAATCTGATCCTACATAAAGTAATAAAGTTGAGAGAGAGTTGACGTGCTGTGGTAGATATTATTTTTGCATTCCATTATCATACCACATGCTACTGAAGATGTCATGTTCTTTATGCTTAGAAGAGTTTATTAAATATTTCCAAAATCTAAATCCAAAATCCTTTACAGAGTGATCCTGTGAAAGTGAAGACTGCAGTAGAGGATGATGAATCATTCTCAAGTGTATTTTTTTCCGATGCTTTTGACATTGTGACAGAATTGGAGACGAGAGCTGCCAGTATGCCATCACCAGACCGCAGGGCAACACTGCATCCATTAGGTACAGTATATTACTATCCTATATTTTTAAATATCAATAAAATAACTTGTGGGTAAAGTTGAGGGGCTGTTTCTTAAAATAATATGTATGCATTAGATTTAGTTCTTTGGTTTTTGTGTGGTATTACTTGCGTGTAGTTACATGTAGAGAGCATAAGAAATATTGCTGGAACAACCATGGACATCTTCAAGAGAAAACTAGATAATTTTCTCCAAGGAGTGCTGGACCAACCGGGCTGTGCTGGATATGTGGGCCTGCGGGCCACTTCAAGCAACAGCCTAGTTGGACCAAGCTCTCGCAAGTCAAGCTTGGCCATGGGCTGGGCTTGGGGAGTAGAAAAACTCCCAGAACCCCATCAACCAGGTATCAAGCAGGAACTGAACTTGTCCTGTCCCTCCTTGCTCCTCCTCCTCCTTTCACTTCCTTACCTAAGCTAACAGTGCTATGGCCAAGTGAGGTCCAGGTCTTCATGCTTTGTCTGTTAGCCTTTATTGTAGCCTCTTTATTTTATCTTAATTGACATTTAAATTCTTTGTCAAATCTTGCCTTAAAGTTGTGGCTGGAGGTAATTTCCACAACTTTTTAGTGTATTACACTTGTTGACTGCTTGTATAGGTAACGATTATTTCCTCAAATTTCTTTAACTCATTTCTGTTTGCATATTTAATCGCTCTCTTTTTTTTTTCCTGCTTTTTTCAATTTAAACATTTTTGTGTAGTGATAATGCCTTGTTTTTTCAACTTTTCCCCAAGAGTTGATACTGGGTTACCTTGACCTGTCTTCATGCTTAGTCGTCTTGATTCCGGCACTAGTTTTGTTGCACACATCTGTAGTTTAAGTCTAGTTTTGAGATTCATGAGAAGTGAGTTTGATGCTGGTTCTGCAAATCTATTATTGACCACACACAGGCTGTATAGTTTGTCTTGAATGAAGTCTTGAGGGTTTTTAAATCTTGCTTTTACTTATGCCACTTTCCCTTATCTACTAATATTACTCTTTGCATCTGGTATTAGGGCTGGAATTTTATTCACTACAATGCTTTTATCTTTCCAATTCCTGTAGTTGCCATTTATGTACAGTGTAGATTCCACCTTCATTGTATTAAACGTGTAAGAGTTGAACTCTGACAGCTATTTGCCTTCCCACTAATGGAGTTTGTCAAGATATTCTTGTAATTATCTGCAATACTCAGATTTTTTCATTCTCATTAGCTTTGCTTCATCTGCAAAAATTATAAACCCCTTTTGCATACAAGGGTCCTTGCCAGTGGTGGACCCAACCACTTTGACTGGACGGTAGAGCGAAGGTCTTGCTTCATGCAGGTCGGCGTTTAATCCCCGACCGTCCAAGTGGTTGGGCACCATTCCTCCCGTCCGTCCCATCCCTAATCTTATCCTGACTCCTTCCCAGTGCTATATAGTCGAAATGGCGTGACACTTTCTCTTGATAGTTCCCTTCCCTTCCCTTGCCTGTGGTGGGATTCAGTTGCTTCACACTGGTTTGCCTGAATAGGTTTTTAAAATTTCCCAAATAGTTTGAAACATCTCTTAACCCTTAAAGGGCAGTTATCAAAATTATATACTGTATAATATTTACTTACTTATTTACTAACTGATTTTTTTAATTATTGATACATTTAATGTATTTAAGCAGATTTGGACCTTGTCACAAAAGCAGAGGTGGTGGTGGTGATCAAAATATTTTGTTTTCCAGATATGGATGCTATAAATGACAGTCTTCTTAATTCTTTTTCCTTGGCGAATTCTCCAGCCCAGAAAGAACTTCACGGTGCATTTATCTCGTCACTTCCTTCTATAATGGTTCGTAAGGTTTCATTACATGGTGTTTTTTACTGGTTGTGTTTTTGTTGTCTAAAGTGTTACGAGCACCAAAGTATGCTTATTCTTGAACATGTTTTCACATTACTATTAGTAGTTTAAAATAACTTTTTTTTTAACTTTAAATATTACTGCAAAAGTCATTTCTTTGCTATCACTGGAAAGACCAGTAAAAAGTTCTGTATTGTTTCAAAAAAGTATTGAAATATATTTCATAATGATAATTTTATTATAATAACCAATAATATATATCTTGCATACAACTTTTTATTCAGAATATTTTTGGGGGAAATGGCAAAACCTCCTGATTTGTGTGCTATGAGAATTTCATAATAATAATAATAATAATAATAATAATAATTGAGGAGTGCAAGAAAATCTCAAAATTGTATTTTAAGATTTGAATTTTCCTGCCAAAAATGCAACATCAGAAATCCTCAACAATATACTTTTTAATTATACAACTTACAACCTATTTTGTATGTCTTTTCCAATTACTTTTATAGACTTAATCTGATTGATTTATGGTTTCATGGCTTAAAAAAAAAAGACTTCGATACAAGTTGCCATTATTGTCAGACTTTTTTTTTTAAGAGTGGTTACAGCAACTTAAAAAATAAAAACAAAATTAATAATTTAAGCATGCTAATGACAATAAAACAAATATTGAAACATTTAAAAGAAAATGTGGTGCCCTTAACCTTGTGACATTGCAGATCTCATTGCAAGTCAAACATCTTTATTTTATTATTGAAACAATTCAGTAGTGGACTAGCTCACTATCTCGATACAGAACCTTGACCCCCCGCCCCCTCCTCAATACAGAGCCTTGACCCGCCCTCTCCTCGATATAGAGCTTGGACACCTCCCTCCTCAATACAGAGCCTTGACCCCCCTCTCCTCGATATAGAGCCTTACAATAATTTTTTTTTTTTTAACTAGGATTCATTAGGAATGGTGATGATACTCCCAATGCTGGGTGAGTGTTTTATGTTTAGGGAGATGGGTCGAGGCTGTGTGTTTTGGTTCTGGTATCAGTTAATAATAATTTCTTCTTCCAGGAAAAGTTCGGAAAGAAAACCGAAATAACTAGTGATGAAACTGTCAAACCAAATAACTGCAGCTTTGATGGTCTAGTGAAGGTTCTGAAGGACACTCTGAGAAAAGAGTGTATTCTCTCGGTGAAACCTAAAATTAAAGTTAAAAATAATTTAGAAGATACATTTAGTATTAATGAAAAAAACAAGGGCATGAATTTAACGTTTGATCACCAAAATATTCGGCCTATACTAAACTCAACTTTTGAAAAGCAATTAGAAGATCCAGCCTCAGTTCCATCTGACAGAAAGGATGCCAATGCAACATTTGTTCAAAATAGTCAGGGCATCAATAGAACTTTTGAGTGTGAAAGTTCAGAAGATACAAATCCTAGCAAATTTCTTAATGTAACATTTGAAAAGAAAGATCAGGCTGCAGCATGTGAGAATGATAATCTTGAGAGTGATGGCAAAGAAAAGGACAAATTGAACGTAACTTTTGAGCGAGGTGAATATAAAATTGCTTCTATGAATGAAACTGTCAACTTAATGGATGCTGAAACAGATGTTCTTCAGATAATCTTGGATGCAACACCACATAAGGTGTCCAAGAGGGCTCCTGATGCTGCCTCCACTCCCAAGTCTTCAAATACACCATCATACCCAGCTGCTAAGAGGATGGTAAGACCTTGATAACGTGTACTCCTCTTTTTATTATAGAAATATCTGAGCTGCACCACTTGGTTGCTGCTTTCTTTGGGTATACTTGTCCCAGCTTGAACAGTTTGACATAACTGGGATCTTTTCATGCAAGGGGAGTTACCCAACTTGTTCCAACCTCACAATTTTCCTGACTGTTTCTGTGCTTTAGGGCGGTGAGGCCCAAAACTATTTAGTTAAGTGACTCTCCTGAGATCCTGAAGTTGACATATGTAGCAGTTTTGTTCCAGAAATAGTAATGGCTTGTAGAGTGAGATTTGTGCAATGAAAAAGGATTATGCATTACCAATACATATTTCTAAAACAAGAATATTCATAAATATTCATGATTCAGGGTAATTTACAAAATTGTACACAATGAGTTTGCTTAAGTACCAGAGAAATGTGCTTAACCCTTCAACTGCAGGAAGCACTTGTGAATGCTTGAGGGGTTTTTTGTGATGTGTGTATGGATCAGGCCAGTGAACATTTTGACATATGGAAACTGTACATAGCAATGGTTTGTTTGTAATGACAATAGGATCAACCTGAATGAACCTATTGAAATAGTGGATACTGTAACAACTTAAGAGTGATGAGTAATAGTCTTTCAAGATGGAATTCTGCTCTGTAATATCCCAAATGGTCAGTATTAGGGTCTCAAACCAAAAGTGCATGTAATAGCTAGATTTTTATCTTCATTTTCATATATCTATATATTCTTTGTAAAATAAAATGGTGGTGGGAGGGTGGGTGGAGTCATCTATGAAGGGCATCACACCCAAAATTTGTCCAAAAGAAATATACTGTATACTGTTTGTCTGGGGTGGCCCTCTCATTGGCTTACTACAACTTATGCACCGGCACCCCAGTGCCCGTTCTCATTAGTCTTCTCTGATTTTCTCATTGGCCTTCTGGGAAGAGGGATCAGAATGTCCTCTCCTTTCATTTATTCATTTCTCAATGTCCTGCCCTCTCATTTTATTAGTTTAGAATTTTTATTTTTTTTTGTTGGGGGGAGGGGGGAATGTGCATTGCAAAAATTCATTTTTAGCCACATTGTAGCACTTAAAAATGTGAATATCTCTACCTGTTTGTATGCTTTCTTTCTGAAGATAACCAAAGATCCTACCCAGACTTTCCTACGTAGAATCTCTCTTGGAATGAGAAGGGATATTACAAGCAAGAAATGTGAGGACGACTCCCAGCATTCATCCCAAACTATAAATACACTGCCTGTTATTCCAGGTAATACAGCTTTACTCGATGTTATAATGTAAGATTTTTATTTTGTTTAAATTTATCAATATGTATAATTACTTTAGTTTTTTTTTTCCTACCACAGATGTGGCCACACATTTACAATGCTAACCAGAATATATACATTTTCTGTCCTCCGTGGACAGGGTTAAAGATCTGTTAACATATAGTTCAGGGCTTTATTGAACAATCATCAACCACAGAAGGTGATTGTAGTGCTTATAATTACCCAAGTGTAGTTATAGCTATGCTCATGGTGTTCCGTCTTCAAGTATTTACTCTTTTATCATATGGTGCTTTGAAACTACCGATGGTTTTGGCTTCCACCACCACCTCATTTAATTTGTTCCTACCATCTACCACTATTTACAGAAGTGATCTTTCTAATTGTTTTCAAGTGCTTTGTTTTATTAGTTTGAATCTGACCTATTGTTATTGAAGTTGCAATTTTCAAGAATTCTTCCTTGTCAATTTTGTTGATTTATTTTTATTGATCATATCACCATTTCTTTCTCCATCTTCAGTATATTTAACACCTCTAGCCTCTCCTTGAAGCTCTTATTTCTCGGTTCTGGAAACCATTTAGTTGCATGCCTGCACTTTTTCCAGATTACTGATATGCTTCTTGAGGAATGGGCACTATGCAACCGTGGCATATTCCAATTTTGGTCTAAAAAGCTGTGAACAACTTCTTTAATATTTCTGCCTCCGTGTACTGTATTTAAAAGTGATTCTGAAACTGGAAAGTGTAGCATATGTTCAAGTGACCGTTTTCTATCCAGAAACACTCCCAGATCTCTCTCAGAATTCTTTGATGCATTTTCATATAATTTTTAGGTTACGTGTGGCCTATTTTCTATTTCGCATTCCATAACTTGGCATTTATTCACATTAACTTCTATTTGCCAGATGTTACTCCAGACACTTATTTTGTCAGTCTTCTTGAAAGGCATGACTATCATCTAAGTTTCTTATCCTTAGTGGCTTGGCATTGTCAGCTAACATATTCATGTAGCTCTGTATTCCTTCTGGTAGATTTTTTTATATAGGCAGTGAACATTACTGGTGGTAGAACTGAACCCTGTGGTACTCCATTAGTAACATTTCTTCAGTCTGATACATTGCCTCTGATTACTGCCCCTCATTTTTCATCCATCCCAGAAGTTTCCCTGCCACCCCCTCCAGTATGTTCCAGTTTCCAGAACAACTTCTTATTTGGCACTCGATCAAAAGCTTTTTTAGGTCGAGATAGATGCAGTTAACCCAACCATCTCTCCTGTAAAAGCTCTGTGGATCTATAATAGAAACAAAGTTGATTTGGTACACATGGTTTTCTTGTTTTGAAAACCATACATTTTATAATTTTTTCCAGATGGTTTGCCCATCTGGAGAAAAAACTACCTCCACATACTGTACTATGTATCACCACCACATAATTCATATCACTGCCATATCTAGATCTCATTTTCTGTGAGTACAATAAGGAAATTTATATTTTTGTTTTTGAAGGATTGAAAATGGGCTCGATGGACCAACAAGCAGTGGCTAACCAACTACGCCGTCTCCACAGTGGAATGTCCTCTTTACGATCAGGACCAGTGAGGGCTCTACCAGGTCTTTCTTTAACAATGGCTCACAAATTAAAAGATTCTGGTAATACACATGGTAAATTTGTTACTAATTTTTTAAAAATAATCTGTTTTTATAAGATTTTTAATATATTGTTGTATTTTAATTCTTCTTAACATGGTGTTTTTAATCGAAAGCTTCAGCATTTTATGGTAGAAATTTCACATCACATCTGTCACTTCTTATTAATTCTTCTTGATGGTAATGTTTAAAAATACATATAAACTGAATAGATTTGACTAAGAATTTATTCTTAAGTAATGAATTAATTTGTAAAAACACAGGAAACAAGTGTTTCCTGCGAAAGACATTACTAAACATGATCACATGCTTGAGAGTAAGACATTGCTGATATTTTGTAGAGGGTTTGGAAGATGGTGGCGGTGGAAGTGAGAACCACGTGGTGGGAGTTAATGATGGTGGCAGCTTTATCCGCAGAGAAGGACCTGCGCCAGCCTCGTTTGGATCTGTCAGTAGTATAGGTTTGTGTCTGTCACTTTAATTATCCTCACTTATTTGGGCTCTGTGTTTTAACTTGTACAGTATGATTATATCAGTTATACCTTTTAGCATAAATTAATGAGAACACAGCTTAAAATTGAATATTTTCATGCCTAAATAAAGTTATTTTAACATATTGCAGAAAGTGAGCGTCCAGGCACTCCAGACCTAGGCATAATCACCGGTATTGGCATGTCAACACCAGAAGTCTTCCGGTGAGTAGGCTCTCTGGGTTGTCGTTTTGTATGTTGGCTTAATAGAATACTCTTATAACCTTTGCACAACTTGGAACTAAATTTCTATAAATGTAGGATTATAATATTAGATTTAATTTTTATTGCAGACTCTTATCTCGTACACACACAACAGTACATTGGTCCTGACTTAGTGCTAATAAGGCAATTATACTGTACATACAGGAGTGGGATACATGGTATTAATACTGGAATACTATATATATATACATATCTATTAGATTAGTAATCATATGGTTGTATGTAGAGGAATGTTGTGTAGCATCATTTCCCATTTTCATAGGTTAGAGGCGCATGAGCCCAGAGAAACAAGGCAAATACCATAATGAAAGGGTTGTAGATATTAAAAAAGACAAATGTGACTCATCTGTTCATTATATCATTTACACTATGTAGCATCACAGATAAAAATGTTTTCAGCTAGTCATTTAAACTAGCATATCACAACCTTTTACTTAACATATCCAACACATTGTTCATACTTGATCCTTGCTTTCTCATTAATAGTATCAGTCATTCAGCTATGAATATCCCTGCATTTCCATCAGACTAGTTGTTGCACGCTATAGTCATACTACACTATAAAGTAATTCGCTTCACTCATTCCTACGTTCTCTATTACCATTTGTTTTGACAAGTGGGTGACTGGTTTGTTGGTGTCTCGCTTGCATCTTTCCTTGCAGCAACAGTATGAGATTTGCTGGTGCTCGTTTTGCCACTGTCTGTCTCTTCGTTGTCTTTCTTCACTTAAGGTCAAGGCTATCCTGTCTTTTTTAGTGGTCTTGGTTGTTCTAGATCAGCATCTTATGCTTAATATTATCACCTCTTATTGCTCGGTGTTGGCAGAACCACTGTTGCTTGTGTTTGTTGTTGACTCTTCCTTGGCACGATTGTGCGAGTTGTCTTTTGCATTTTTCACCTCTGGCCAGCTTATGCCCCTTATGAGCTGTGATGGTCTTCCTCTCCTCTCCTCTCTCTTCCTCGTTTTACAGTTACCCTTCGGCTCATAATGTATTTCTCAAAGCAGGGTTTTTGTTGGCTCTCCTCTGGCTGTAGGATTGGGGAGCTTGTCTCTTTTTCCAGTGGCGGGGGTTTTGTTCTTTTGGCCCTAGTGGGCAATTTGCGCATTTGCAGCATTCTCCTTTTCTTTGAAAGAAAGAGTTGGCTAGCTTTCAGAGGGTTCTGTTTGTGATTTGAAGTTTGGTGGGTCCGGTGAGGGGTACATCACTTGTGTCCAATGGTGGCTCTTTACCGAGACCTGTGGGTCATCGGTTCTGCTTTCGTGGACACCTTGTTGGTTAATTCTGTTTCCTTAGTCCCCTGTTCCAAGGCTCATATTTCCCAGGTCATTTGCAGTGTCATCAAATCTAGCCAGTCTATCCTTGGACCCATGATGCTCACAAGTATGCTGCATTGGCTACAGTCTTCTCCAATATGTCCTGTGTTGATATTCAGGCTCGTAAGTTTGGCACTCTAACAGGGTTCTGGTGGCCCAGTGTATTTGCTTAATACTGGGCCTGGTTTCTCTTCATCCTAGTGCATGCTGCTTCTCCTTCCTGGTAATTCCAGCTTTCGTTCTCTACTATTTTTTTTTTTTTTGCCATCGTGGCCTCTTATTTGCCTCTTATTTTTTCATGGGAAAAAATAAGAGTTGCCAAATGAAGAATATAAGGTTAAACATGTCTGACTAAAAACAAAATATTAAAATTGCCTATCTGGGTGAAATACTTTAGAGGATGTAAGGTACAGTACTGTATATACTGTACCTCAGAATTTGATAATTTTGAAGGATAGCTACTGTACTACCAAATTAAAACCCTATATTTGAAACTTCTTTAGTGTGAATAGGCATAAAATCACCACAAACAATGTAACCCAGTGTACATAAAAAATGTTTGCAAGTGTATGGAAGAGTATCGTGAGAAGCCAGGTGTATAGTACAACATCATTTTAATACAACTTCAGGAAGTTCGAGCTACTGTGCTCCTAGGGTCCAGAGTATTCTTTATCTGGAATGGTAATGTCTTGGTTCTGGGACTTGCATTGCAATTTTGTGATGTCCATTGCTAGCTTGCAAATGAAGAGAAGCCAGATAATCTCATGTTTTCATAATGTAATTCAAAAATTATATAAGCACGAATCCCAAGTATACCCCATTTATAACAACATTTTCAGACGTGAGGGACCCAGCAGTGGTCCTCGCATCACCAGTACACCAGCAATGGGAGGTGCAGTATTTCCGTGTGTTTTAGGGATAGAAGGACCAGCACCCACACCCATATCTGCCCCTTCCTCCCGGTTGCGTTCCAACACTGTTGTTAGCACAGCTTCATTACCTGAAGGCCACAATGGTGGTAAGTATAAATCTGTATTGTTTATTATAATTATATTAGAAAGCAGGTTCTTCTTTACTTTCTTGAAGTGCCCCCAAAGATTCAACTACTGACTTTTCCCAGGATGTAACCCTACAAGAAGCTGACTAATTCCTGGGTACCTATTTACTGCTAGGTGAACAGGCTCATTGGGCGACTGGAAATGTGCAAAAACCATTTCTGTCCTGCCTGTAATTGTCAATTTAGTCGAAAACAAACCAGACTGTACCACCATTGTTTCTCTTTGCCGTTGCTTGATTTTGGGGGCACTTCCTTTCTGGTGGCTTGGTTTGATCTAGTATTTCCAGACTCCCTTTGCTTCTGTTTAGTAGACTAAATTCTGCCTCTGGTTTACAGTAGGCACTTGTGACTCACTAAAGTTTGGTTTGGCAGCCAACTTTTGTCTAATACTTTATTTACAGATACAATAGATGGACAGACACTGGACCTTCATTAGTTATTGACTTTTGCTTGTAGGTGAAATTTTTGCATCCTTTAGAATATTAGAGAGCCTTCCTTGTGACATTGAGACACTAACAAAGGAAAGCACGAGTGTACAGTTTGTTGAGCATAGAGGTGGTGGCACACAACACAATTTTGCAAGTACATTTACATATTAGTATGCTTAATATTATATACTGAGCTCAGTATACTCAGCTGATTATATACTCAGTGTTATATAGAGTATTCTTAAATATTAGTTGTTTTTATTATGTCTGCATGATTCAGCATTTTAAAGTCGGTTCCTGTTTTCCATCTCTAAAAGGTACCCCGTCGTGGCAAGGATTATCCCAAGATTCTAGTAAAGATAGTAAAACTACTGCAAAATTGCCTGGCGAGAGCACTTCCAGTAGTTCCAAGCAGTGTCCCTCAAGTGAAACACATTCACAAGAGAATCTTGGCTCTGATAAATCTAAAGAACAAGAAGGGGTGCATTTTGACAATTCTGTTCAAAATATACCAAATGAAGAAGCCAAAAATATGCTGCCAGAAACGAGTGACAATGACAAAGCTGAATCACATATTCAGTCTACAAACGTTAGTGGAAATCTAAAATTGACTGCAGCAGAGTTGACTGTTGGTGGGAAAACTGATGATACTCAAATGGATATTAAACCAGATAAAGTACTAAGCATCACTAATGTTGATCACCATCAGGTGAATGATGCTGCTGCTGGCGAGATGCCACTAGTGAAGATAGGCAATAACGAGGTTGTGCTCGTTGAGAGCAGCTTGGGTAGGAATTCAGTAGTGGATATTGATGCTACAGAGTCTCAGACGCTCAAAGATACTGATGCAGAATATCAGCAAGATGATAATACAAGAAACTCGTGCAGGTCTAAAAATAAAACTCCAGTGGGTATAAAGCTTAGAAGTAATGCAACAAACCCTCATAAATCAGCTGCAAAAAGGGGGATTATTTCAGAAATTTCAAAACAAACAAAGGACTGTAATAATAGCAAAGAAAAACCAAATTTAGCTCATAGCAGGTCTTCCTTGCGAGTAATACAGGATAAAACCAAATTTGCAATAAACAAGACTCGGTCTCCTCAAGTTATAGCACACAATGTGTCAGCTGTAAGTGCTAAAGGTGCTCTAGATAAAAAGAGGGAGAATTCTTTAAAATCTGAAAAAACAAAAAGTGTTGGTATGTTACTGAAGAGAAATGCTGCTGAAAGCAGACCAATACGTGCAAATAAAACCTTGAACAAGGATGATAAAGAAAACAAGAGAGAAAGTATTGATAGCTCAAGGCAAAGTACTTCTCAACTTAAGGCCGGAGCCCATGCTTCTCGAGGACGTAAAGTTCCATCACTCCGGCCCTTTCTTGGACATTCAAATATTGCTGGTAAAAGATCATTGTCCAGTCAGCCATCAGTTCTAAAGAATATTCCTATTAAACCTAATCCCAAACCCTTAAAAGCAGAATCTCTGCAGTTTCCTAGACCAGTTGAGGCCAAGAAATTCAAATCCCCATCACCTGATTCTAAACCTTCACCCCCACTCTCGGCTGTAAAGGAGACCACGGTTGCTAAAGGTCTTCGGACACCCTCAACAGTGACAGCCAAGGGAATTCCTAAATCGAAGATTGTGACAGGGATAAAAATACCAGTGGATGTGAATCACGGTTCACTTACGAACTCGTGTTCTGCATTAAAACCTAAAAACCAGGGTTACTCTGCAGGTGATTTCCATGCCAAAAGTAAGCTACCAAGAAATGCAAATACCAATTCAACAGCTCCTCGTAAACTTTCCATGCTTAAAGTTCAAAAGAATTGTGTTCTATGATTCATCCAAGGTAATTATATACTTTTGGTGTATTATATTTTAAGTCATGTCAATTTAAATTTTATTGAAATACGATTTTAAATAGTAAAGTACGATAATGTACACGGTATACCGTTCCTTGAGTATATATAATAATAATAATACGATGTACATACATATTTTGTCTTGCAGCATTTAAAATCTAACTGATTGGTTACTGTTACTTGCTTTTCGTCAGATCTTGCAATGTGTTGATATTATTGCTCCATATATGGTTATACAGTACTCGTATGAGGTTCCTTATATTATGCTATACAGTACTTGTATGAGGATACTTCATATTTTACCATATGCTTCTTCACATTAACATTTCATCATTATTACTCCATTTAATTTCTTAGCTAACATCACTGCCTGTGTAAAAAGTGATTAATTCATTGTATCGATATAGCGTAGTAAGGTTGTATATCGTGTCAAGTACAATATTAATGTAAATAACTTAAGGAATGTTGTTCAGACTGATGCCAAATTGAAATTGTTTTATTTGAGGTGCTTATGTAAGAAAGTAGTGTGCGCATTAACCGTTTGATAAAGCTGAAATGTTTGATGGATATAGCTGGAAAGATGGTCTAAATGCTTAATTAACAATATTTTACACCAGATTTTATGTATTGAAATTTGTTAATAATGTAAATAAAAAAATACATTTAAAGCTTTGCTTTAGTGTCAGTATTCTTTTGATAATTACATTTGTGTCATTATTTTGTAGAAAATGGTATAAATGTGAAAAAAAAGATAAGGTAGTCTCATGATATGAGGATAAATGCACATCATTTAATTTGTTCTAAATCAGCATTTGTCATTGCATTATGCACTGAAGAGCTTTCAGAAGTACAAATGGGTATTTGATACTGTACTAGCTTGAGAATAGCCATTTCTAAGGAGGTGTGAAACAAAAACAAATTAAGTTTCCTGATTCTTGGATTATCCAAAATGATGATTGGGTTCTCCACTCGTATTTCACAGGAAGTCTAGGCACGAGTCGTTGGCAGTTGACATGTTATCTGTACCAGATAAACAATGTGTTATTTCTTATACTGTATACAGTATATATATTGGTGCATTCATTAAAATACCACTACAGATCTTTTCAGAATGTCTGTATAATATACAGTACCATAAATACGAAATAAAAAAATTGGCAAATTTATGTTGCACTATTTTCTTCAGTTACTGTGCCCACCTGATAATAAAGGCGCACATTGTACAAGGTAAGGTTATTATCAGGAGAAAGCATCAAGCCATTGAGAGAGAGACTTTGAAAGGATAAGGATTTGGGATAGGGCAGAAGGAATGGTGCCCAACCATTTTGACAGATTGAACACCAACCTGCAAGAAGTGAGACAGTCGCTCTACCATCCCGTCAAAGTGGTTGGGCAATCACACTGCAAAAATACTATTATTTTTTATTATAATACCCTTTGGGGACAGGCGTTTAGATGCTTGCCAGAATAATTGTATTAAGGCCATGACAAAGTCAGGGTCATCCTATTAATTTTCAAAGTTACTGTATTTACACCCCACCTTCATGTAGTGTAAATGATCAAAAACCCTGAATACATCACTTGAAAACCATGTCCTTCCCTCAAAGTTCTTAACAGTACAGTACCATATTTCCAATTTTGTTTAGGAATTTGTTCCCTACCCACATCAGTTCTCTTTTTGTTGGAAGTGCAATACTGTATTTGTGCATTCCTATGTCAGGGAGCACCATTCACTTCCCTGTATTATGAAGGGTTGTCATATTTGAAGGCCATGCTAAGTAATGTTGGTGCATGAACTTTTGGTGACATTAAATTTCAAGAAAAAATCTTATATTCAGGAGAAAGTAAGCTACTTCATTACTGCGAGGCAATTAATCACCCATACTACCAGTTAACCTTCAGCACCTTACCTTCTCCACTTAATGCACTTAAATTCTACTCTTATTATTCATTATTGTGCATAGTTCTTGGCAAGATTCTCAGAATGCTAATTATTGTATCTACTACTGCCTAATCACCACCTATCCACTTTCATTGCAATGGTGACACTTCTCTTGTAGTCTGTCGAGATATACCAACGTCCATACTACTCGAGCTTTAGTCTTCAGTATGGTTTCACTTGGGATTCTCGAACATTCTTGCAGGTAGTCAGTTCGATAGTGGAGTAAGCAGTAGAAAGTATCTCGTTGCACTGATTTTGTGAAATATTCAGCAGCTCACAGGTGGACCTCTTTGCCTCTGCATGGAATTGGCAGCTTCCAGTCTGATGCCAGACTACAGGGCTTTACAGTGGACCTGGTTCACAGACTGGACTCCCTGGTCTTAACTTTGCCTCTTTCCTCTGGTCCAGTTACACAAGTGATGGCCAGGTTAGAAACAATTGTAGGCAGTGTGATTTTGGCAATATGCTGGCACTAACAAATTCTACTCTATTAAGGACTTCTCTTGGGGAAAGTTGGGGGGTGGTCTGTTCCTAAAGTAGTTCCTAATTCACAACACACACAAATCTCAATAGCGTGATAATATATCAAATGATATATCACACTATAATGATACACTATCACGTTGTTGTGATTTGTGTGTATTGAAGTAGGGGCATAGAGGTAGAACATTTGGCAGAGAGCCCGAATGCATGGGGGTAAAGCACAACCTTGGTTGTACTTCTGAGAAGCTACAGGATCCTAGTGAGGGCAATAGTACTCCAGATTGAAATTCTTGATCATGTGGTACAGTTGACTAAGACACGTCTGGGAACATCCTGTGCGTAGGTTCGAACCCTCGACATTGCCCTTGTGGATTTGTTCATTAGTTCCTAATTAGCTGTAAAATGAAGCCTGGGATACCCTAGTAGTTGAAACTTTGGCACTCTGGATAAGAGTACTATCATACCTGATGAAAGGTATGTACAGTATAATGTAGAGTGCAACACAGCTGATCCAACATTATTTAATATACAAATATTATACAGGGTTTAATAGTACATATCTTTAATAAGGCCACTAATACAAAGCATTTCGGGCATAACTTCAAACATTTAAACAACCTCGGTTCTTTTATGATATAGACTTCAGTATAAACAAGTAGCAAACCAACACATTAAAAATTTATCAAATATACAGTACAGCTTTGAGATGGCATAATTTAAATTTTAATATAAAATGAACATGTGTTAAGGGACAAGATGAAATGAGATGGTAAGCGATGGATTGTCGAAAGAAAACTATATCCCTTCTACAGGTATGAAGTGCCTTTTCCTTTTAATATTCTTGGAGAGCCATTTTCATGGCACAGTTTTATAATATTGAATGCTCTTTCACCAGCTCTGTTTGTACATGCCAATGTTCTTTGTTATTGTGCTCAGTGCCCTAATGGTTATCTTAACCCTTTTCATCCTGTGGCAATTGAAATCCAATACTGGCTCATCTTCAGCATATTTAAGATTGGGCACCCAGCAATAATATGCCTGTCACGTAGCTACTTCAAATGAACTTGCAGACGCTGTTGCCAAGAGTCATTCATACCTGCCACATCTCCCACAGAGATTTAGTTTTTTTACCCATTTATACCTCAAGCCCCAACCATTATTAGTTAACAAACTACTTTGTAAACATGATCAATCCCCATGCCCTTCCTTCCAACCACTCTAGCTAGGTTATGTATCTACGACATGCAGTATATGGAGCACTTGCTCCTTATTGTCCAAACTGCATTGTCCTGCACCTTCTTGTAGAAGGTCTGATTTTGCTTTCCCAATTTTCCCAGAGTCACTTTCCCTCAAGGGCATCCCAAGTTTAATTGGATACCTTTAATGTCACTGTTCTATATTTTCCTTTCATATTGACAATGTTAATTAGGATCTTTAATATTCTGCATACATGATTGGTGACTACAAAGGAGCGAGATCTCTCTCTCCCCACCATTTCTCCATTGTGCTCATTACTTTTCCCTTTGTACCTTCTTTTGATTACTTATTAATGGAATAACTTATTGAAGCTTGAATCTTTCAGTGCCTTTAATACTAAGTTTATTACATAACTACAAATGCAAATCTATTTGATTCATTAATAATGTAAAAAAATATATTATCACAATGCATTACAAACTTTTTTTTTTTTTACAACATTCAGTACTGCAAACATGTTAAGGTTTCATAATACAAATTTAAGTGTGCCAAATTCCAATGAATGGATAGAAGTACATTAGAGTATTAAATTTTCCTTACTTTTCCTTTCCTTTGTACTTCTATCCATCCGTTTGACAGTAAAAGTTTCTACATCATTTAATTTCATCACGCTTAAAAAAAAAGCTAATTCAGTTTCTTGTTTAAGAAAATTAAGATAGCAAAAGTACCCAGTATTGCTACACAACAGGTAAAAAGCCTAAGGCTTAGAAAATTAATGTTTTTATATGCAAATATATGAAGACATCAGGACATTAGAGTCAATTTCATTGATAACTTTTCACTTCTTTTGGTCTGGCTTCCAGTCTGGATTAAAATTCTTCTCGAGGCCTTGCCAGCACTTGTAGTAATCCAAGTCAATTTTACAGCAGGTTTCTTCACCCCATTTTGTCAGTCCCAACCCTAGTGAAGTCTCAAACATGAAGGACTGTACCATTGTTTGTAGCCACATGATGTGATGGAGGGAAAGGGAAAAAAAAATAGTTAATGGGTAAAAATTTAAGATAATTTACACACAAAATACTGCGCTGTACATCTAGTGGCCACAATATGCAAGAGTGGCGTAGGTTCTGTGTCGATTCAATGTATCAACGTTTATGTTGATTTAATGTTAAATTGATATTGCTCTTGGATATTGTACCCCACTGAGTACCAGTTTACAAAATCCAAAATGCCTTTTAAATGAAGAACATGCATAATAGTTTAACAAAAGATTGTTTTGTAGCCCATCCTCCTGTTTAGACAGTACTTTTTGTAACTGTGGATCATACACACACACACACATAATGGACAATTAGATATAATTTGGTACTATTCACTTTATAGTCTTTAAAAAAAAAAAAAAAAAAAAAAAAAAAAAAAAACTTATCTGTTATACTGTACTAGGCCTAGGAATATTTATGTACTATATTAGTCTTCAGATAACCTAATCTTCCTAGGGCTAATACATGCTATGTTTTCTTTGCATCGTCAGTACAAAAACTTACGGTTTATTCAAATTCAGCGCTACCAATTTCTACTTTTCTAATTGCCTTTTATGTCAATATACATAGGTACAGTTTCTTCATTACTGTAAATACTACCTAAACAGGAGGATGGGTTGTGTTTTTAGAGGGTCAACATTTATTGTAATGCGTATTTTAAAGAGCCTCTTAAACATCAGCACAATGAGGTCCGTTGACCAGACCACACACTAGAAGGTGAAGGGACGACAACGTTTGCATCGACTTTAGAATGGTCCAGGACGGACCGAAACGTTGTCGTCCCTTCACCTTCTAGTGTGTGGTCTAGTCACCATACTTTAGCTATGTTATTGTGACTCATCGCCTGCACAATGAGGTCCACCTGTGGGCAATTGAAAATCTTTAATATCCAGAGAATATAGGCTCTGTCTATCTTCCACTCAGTTGAAATCAGGCATAAGAGGTAATCTACAAACAAAAAAATAGACATCCAGAATGTAAACAGCACCAAGGACTAAACTCTTAAACACAAGCGAGGCTATCTTTTGAGTCCACCCCCTTACAGAAAGGGAATACATGAAACCCCTCCTCCCCCCCCCCCCCCTTTTCTATCCATTTAAGTAAGAACGAAATTATCAAAGAAGCCACCAAGCTGGGAAGGCTATGTAGCACCACCCATCCATTTAAGACAATGGAGCCTTGGGAGAGATGAAAATTGATGGCCAAACCACTAGATCACCAGGGCCAAGCTAAAAATACCAGACGTCTGTGGCCTTGTGTACCTGTTCCCGGTAGACCCTGGGTTGGGCTTGAGAGAGTAGAACAACTCTCAGAACCCCCCACCCAAATACAATATTCAAGTCACACTGTACTCTGTCCCATTAGGAAGCACTGATGTAGTCCACTTTGAGGAGCAGAGTTACACAAGTTAAAAAATTGCCCCTCATTTTTGTAACCATTCTTTGTGTTTCATTGAAGGAAACTAAATTTTAAACTATTCAGCATTATCTGGAAAGAACAGTTTTTGCAGAAGATACCATATTGGTTTAATTTTAAGTGCCCCATGCAAAGTTGGCCAAGAAATATTAACTGCTGATGCTGCCCCTTTCAATGAATACGAAACGTGCAAAAAATACTAATTCTTACCTGTGTACCATCGGCTACCCTGACTGGGGTTAGCTCTGCAGTAGAAGCACTATTAAAGCAGTCAACATCAGGCCCATGAGGTGTCATCATCGAGTGTAGGGAAGCCCCGCCTTGCTTAAAACCACTTTCCTTTGCCTCATAACTCCCATAAATCAAACCCATAAATTCACTCATACAATTACCTGAAAGAAATTTATTTATAAATGAAACAATTTATATGGAAAAGTACTAAAACATTCATAATGAACTTTATGCATGTTATTTTGGCATGAAACAATGATGCTAATCCTTCTCCAGTATATTTTAGTTTTAATTATTTGCTCCTCACCTTGATGACTTCTTATTAATTAAACCTTATTCTCCTTCACCAGTCTCTTAACTTGCTTCTTCCTTGCACCTCCCACCCCCCTGGATGCTCCTCATCCACTGCACGTCACCCAAGTTCCTCTTTCCCAGCACCTCAATAAAGTTTAATACCTAGTACTTTCTTAAACTAATTTCACTTTCATGCTTTCCATTTTCCTTGTTTAAATTTTCTTCAATTTCCAAACTAATTCTCTCACTCCATACCAAGGCCATTTACAGTATCATCAATGCTGTCATTGCTAATCCTGCCTTTCATTCTTCATTCATCTCTACCACAATAATTCAATACTGACGGTGGTAGTATGGTGGTCGGAAAGTGTGGTCCTGAACAGCCCAGCGTGGTGGAAAGATGACAAAGTCTGCAATTGCAACTCCAGGCTTCGTACTGGGGCACGTCAGCACTGTGAAGATGGATGGGTCCTGCATCACGAACACCCACAAAAAACTTGTTATCAGCAATGTATACACTTCTAATTGCTACAAGTCAATATGATATATATTTTTTCTTACTTCATTATGTTTAAATTCCTTATATGTACAGTATTGCAACTTATTATGAAAATGATGGCTGCAAAACTATCATTCCAAAGACGTACAGCGTGATCAAAGGCAGTCGCATTAATAACCATGAAGTGCTTGAGATTATACTTGTAAGGAACATAATTGCCATGCCAGGCTACAACATCAAAGGGAGAATGGTCCTGCAGTGCCTCAAACAAGTGTCCCTGTGTGATGAACAACATTTTAGTATTAAATTGGTTAAGAAATACAAGTTTGTATACAATCAGAGGTACAGTAATTAGGATTATTTCCTACGTACTGTATTTAAAAATTAAAAAAAAATGCATGGTGATTTCTTTGTCAATACAGTACATGAACACACACACAAAAAGTTATATTTTCTTAGTCTATGTACTCAAATATAAAAAGGGCCTAGAAGGTGGCTTCTAAGGGCCATCTTTAGGTATTGACATACCTAAAGATGAAAGGAAGATAAATTTAGGAATTAAATGCATACCCAAAACACTCCATGGGCACAATCATTTCTCATGCAATCCCAACGTCATATTACTTTGCCAAATCATTTTTCAATCCTATAATTATCCACTTTTAAAATGTTTTACCTGAATATACCTTTATTCACTGTCCATCTACCTCTGAATGGCCTTGTGTCATGCTTTTGACCACTGGAGATGTTTCCACTCGCCACCTTTCTGGCATGGGTGGCTTGTTTACGAGATTCTCTCTCCACATTTGCAAGCTCTTCCCTCGTGTTGTTCCTACCTTGCCCCCCATGAAAGCCTTTTGTGAAATTTTGGAAGACCCTGATCCAAATGGTGAAGGTTTATACCCCCCCCACTCACTCTATTGCTCTGTTTAAGGATAGGTCCAAGTCTACCATGTTGGCTACTCCATTGCTTTTCCTGATAAACCTGTGTGCACCCTCCCCTTGCCTAGAGACTAGCATCTTCATGGCAGAACTTTATGCAATTTTGTATGTTCTTCCTCAACTGCTTTTTTTGGCATCAAATTAACTATCATAGTGGTTTACTCTCGCAGTGCCCTCATTGCTCTGGAGTTGACCCTTTGCCTCTTGTGGTGATCTAAATCCAATACTTTCTCATCTAGCAGATATACGATTAATTTTACTGGGTTTCCAGCCAGATTTGAGTTGCCCCAAATGAACTTGTGGACATTGCAACTAAGGAGGCCTTTTGTACTTGCAACATTTCTTGGAAAGTAATTTCTTATTCACATTTCTACCAAGTCATTCATCCTGCGGCTTCTGACAGGATCGTCGAGAACTGAATATATGGGTCGTCATTCATTTGGGGCGCACTCATTGGCAGGCAAAATATGGTGAACTGCCACAATCAGACTATTTGAAAATGAAGCTAGGAAGGATCATGAAATATGAGGAGCTGCTGTGGAAACGGCACCAGGTGCATGACATGTGGCTGGCTGGATTGAAATATTCAGTATAGAATACCTGTATATATTCTATACATTAGGAACACTTATGGCCTGATATCGAGTTATTCGATCCATTTGTTCTATAGCAATGAACAAATTTAAATAGTAAATTGTTAATTATTTTTCATCGTGTACAGAAAAAAAAATGAAAATTCAATTATCCTGTGTCTGCAAAGTGCCTGTTGTAGTCTACAGTAAAAGTTATTGGCAATATTCTCGAGACAGTAAATATCTACAGTACAGTACTGTATTATGGAGATAAGGTACTGAAACTATTTTTTTTATTTAATACAAATATTAAACAATAATGATTGAAAACTAGGTAAAAAGTACCTGGTACTTTGAGATGATGCGGAAATCTTTCACATCTCGGTCCTCGTACCATGCAACTGGAGTCAGGAAGTCTCTAGGACTAGCCAGACCATTAGCACCTGTGTACAGCAGAATAAATTTGTACTTTTTTTTTTTTCACAATGATGGTTAATATTCCTCCAATAAGATATGTGATACAAGATGGTACACAACATTATACTGGTTGGCTACAATTGCCTCCCAGAAACCAGGAGGAAGATCTGGCTCCCTCAAAGAAGCTAAGGGTAAATTGTTGATCTAGAATCACTGTAGTACCAAGAGAATTAACCACCAGTGGGGGAGAGCACTATGAACTAAGCAATTGTTCTTTAGTTGTCCATGTTCCTCTCAAATCATCAGGGTCTTTATTCTGGGTTCATGCCTGCATATCTTCTCCGAGGCTTTGAGTTGTACCTTCAGTGATATCCGTTAGGTTTCTGGCCGCCATATTTTCTGCTTGCACCGAGTACAGTATCTTTTTAGTCCTGGAATTTTTTTCCTGCATCCTTGTATGGTTTGTGAATCTTTTGGTCCTGTGGTTTTTGTTCTTTGGTTGCAGGTATAGTCTTCCTTGCCACAAATGTGCTTTTTAGCATACAGTAAGGCAAAGTAATTATTTGGAGAAAACACCAAGCCATTACAACTGTATAGCACTTGGAAAACAATGAGAATAAGGATTAGGATAGAATAGAGGGAAGGAATGGTGCCCCACCACTTGGATGGTTGGGGATTGAATGCCAACCTGCAAGAGATCAGTTGCTGTACTGTCTAGTCCAAGTGAAGTTAGGTTGTCAGACAAGACATTCCACTTCACATGCTGTCAGTAGCCAGCTGACAGAGGAAGGTAACATTGGCTTCATTCAGGGTAGTTCTGGTCTTTCACCTCACTAATCCATCCCTGCTCACAGCTGCCATCTTCTGGTTTTGGCATGGCAGTCATTTCTTTTCCCAGCCTTTCGACCTCTGATACTTTGTTGCACTGGAAGTTTTCATTTGTGCAGGTGTTTACAAGTGTGCTCACAACTCGAGACTTCTGGTGCATCATTGAATGCCGAAGGCCAGATTTCTCCTGTCATCCTTTATCATCTACAGTCCTGTGTGGTATTAAAGCAAAAGCTACATCCGAGAGCATTTTACATCCAGTTGTAGCTTCCATCCAGGACTCCAAGGTTCATGGGTAAGTAACTAATTTTTATCATACTGCATGTTCCTCTTTCAGAATCACTCAAATACCTCAGTGTAGTTACAGAATAACAGCTATACTCATGGCATTCTGTCTTCCCAATATTGTACTCTTGTCATATGATTCTTTGAAATTGACAAGTTTTGGTGGTGGAGGCCAAAACTAACTTGCTCCAACTGTCTACCACTGTCTGCAAAAATTAACTTTCCTATGTATTTTTGGCAGCTTTGTTTCCTTACTTTGAATCTATATCCTTTTGTTCTTTAAGTTGCAGTTTACAAAAAAATTCTTCTTTTTGTCAATGGTTTTGATAACTTACTATTTTGTACTATACATACTGTAGTGATCATATTCTTCTATCTTCTAGCTATGGTATATTTAACACCTATAACCTATCCTTGTTGCTGTTAGTTTTCAGTTTGGGCAGCCATTTAGTTGCACGTCTTTACATGTTTTCCAGTTTACCGATGTGCTTCTCGAGATATAGGCACCATGCAACCGCTGCATATTCCAACTCACAGAGGTCATTAACAATTTGTTTAATATTACAGTATATTTAATTATAATACTGTACGTTTAATAATAATGCTGTGCATATTAGTGGCTTTGCAAGAATGTTACACTCAAACCTCAATGCACCTTGTATATAAAGTAACAGTCCAGTATCTTCAGTGCTATGTATCTAATCTAAATTTGTATGTTTATTCTGAAATTTGATAGTGCTTTCAGATTTGTTCTCAAACAGTATGCAACAGCTATTTTCTATTTTTGGAAACTATTAGTATTTATTTAATAAAGGAATTCCTGCAATTCATGCAATTTGTTATACGTACATGCACTGCATAACAAACGTGCAGAACGAGGCAAACACTCAGGAGAGGCTAGAGGTGTTAAATGGACCAAGGCTAGATGGTTGGAACAAGCGAGAAAGTGGGGGATATCAAAACTGTCAGTATAGTTTCAAAAAGAGTCATATGACCGAGCACAGTACTGGAGAAACAAAACACCATGAGCGTTGCTTTCATCCTGTAACTTCACTTGGGCAATTACCATGTTAATAAAAAAAAAGTACAAAGCATTCAATAAAATTCACAACAAAAGTAATCAGGATTTTTTCTTTTTAATATTAATACTTAATGACTGAAGAGTTTTCTTAATGCTGTCAAGAGAATATTTGTGAACTTTAATTACAAGATTTATTGTTTGTTTATATGTACATTACTTTCATGCACATATTTCTGGTACTGTAATAGGTAAATTAAAATAATTCATTTTTATCTGATCTCTGCCAACAAATACATAATTAGAATTTTAGGCTAAAGCAGAAACTTACCAATAGGGCCTAAGTTGGGCAGGATGAAGTGAGCATCATAGACCTCAAGTATGTAGCCACGAGAAGGGCCACGAACACTGACCGAGAATCTCATACCTTGCTGCACCACACAGATCTCATTGGGTGACACGCACATTTTCCCAAACTCTGTAGTGATGTCCAAAGTGCCTTGTTGGGGGACTGAAAAAAATATGTACACATTGCTAAGCAAATTACAAAGCATTTACAGATCATGAGCCAAGATATATATGAACATTGAACTGTATAGAGCTGGGACAAATAATTATCAATATTTAAAAGAAATGATTTAATTACGTACCACTTTAGTCTTCTTGACTCCATCAAGCTTTAATGGTGAACACATTTGGGCAAGTTTATATATGCACATTCACCTTTAGAACAAGAAAACACACACCTATGAGGAAGTCTCCATCGCTGTTGTAAAGGGCTGAATCAGTCATAGAGATGTTGCAAACGTAGATATGGATAGCACAACCACTGCGAGAAAGTGGTTCACCTGCCCCGCAAACTGTCCGCAATCCATTAACAAAGTCTACCTCCTCCTCTGGGATATCAAATGGCTGCCATCGTAACTTTAAACAAAAATAAAGATTATTACCCTAAAAGCTTGAAGAAAAGCTTTGTGGGCGTTTAATTCTTGCTGGGAACACAATAGGAAATTTAAGAGGGCCTTGGGACAAACAAAATTTTCAAACAAGACTTGAGGGGGCCAATTTCATACTGTATTTAGAAAACTAGCAATTAAAGCCAGGATGGGTTGGAGAGAGCACAGTGCCATGAAAGTGAAGTGGAAATGATATACATTTGATGAAAATATGGCTAAAGCAACAACAGTATTTTGTAAATACAAGAAAAATTATTTGCATTTTCACTAAAAATGTAAATGTCAAATTACTGTACATGCAAATGGTGAAATTTTACTGTGAACCAAAATATCACCTGGTTAGGGTTGGGATGTCTCTTGGTGAAGTCACTCACAAGGAAACTGTGCTTTATGGGAGCAAATGGTTTATGAACGACTGCAGGCCTGATCCTGTACAGCCAAGACCTCCTGTTGCTCTCTCGGGGCGCTGTCCACCACAACAGAAAACAAAAAACTAATTAAAAACATTAAAAAGCTTCAATACTACCACTGTCATCACACATTTGCTATCCAACACTTGTTTGTCCTGGGGCTTCCCCGTCCTTTCTGTACATCTAAACCAATCTACCATTCCTCCCTCTTCTACACTGGCCTTGTGTCTGCATTATTTTTGTTTTTTTGAGGGGAGGGAGAGTCTTCTTACTATGTAACCGAAACTATACTCCCATGTTCTTTCACTGTTAAATGCCCAATCATTAGCTTGGACTTTATAGACTTTGCTGGCATGAGATGATAAGAGCTCTTCAATTATAGTTGAAGATGCTCTCAATCTTTCCAGTGTTTCCTAGTGCTGGCTGACATTAACTTTCAATATTATTATTATTGTTAAATACTTTATTCATAAGAATGCATACAAAGTACATAAAAGAAAGGTACGTTTAGGTAAAAGAAAGGTACAGGAGTTGTACATAAAATAAAACCACTACTATGCAAAATATTTATAGCAAAACCAATAAGAACTGGAAAATATTCATGTACCAAGGTATGTACAGTATTGATAAAAAATAAGTATGAGCCTATGCATTTTAGTGGAATTTAACTACATATGGTACTTTAGCCTGCCTTGTCTCAATCTGCGCCTATAATACTTAACCATGCAGAACCCTACAATGTGCTATAAATTAAGATGGACAGTTATTTTTATTTAATGCTCTCAAACTAGTGACCTCAAAAAATATATACTGTATTGCTAACATGCATGTAAAAATCTGTTGTACAATAGTTTACCAACATAAACTACAATGTTACTATTACAGTACCTGTAAAGGCTGTGCCAGAGAGCTGCTCAGCATAGAGACCATAAGGGCAGACTTGAGGGCTATTTTGACCCACTGGTAGAGCTCCGGGCAGCGCCTCCGAGGTAAACTCGGACCCAAAACCACTCAGGTACTGCAACATAGTAAACCTAATTACTCTCATTGTATTTCTTTAAGTAATTTATTAAGTCAATACACATAGAATTGTCAAATTTTCTTTTCTTTAACCTCTCAACCACCTGGGGTGGACAGTAGAGTGACGGTTGCAGGTCGGCGTTCAATCCCCGACTGTCCAAGTGGTTGGGCACCATTCCTTTCTCCCATCCCATCCCAAATCCTAATCCTGACCCCTTCCAAGTGCTATATAGTCATGATGGCTTGGCACTTTATCCCTGATAATTCCCTCCCTTCCCTTTTTACTGAAAATCAGCATTGCTCTAAACTGATTACTAAAACTGCAACTGAAGTCAATATTATCAGATTCATGATTTGTACCAAAAGAAATGCCATACTGTATGTTAAATATATATCCCTGCACCATAGGAAATCACCCCTTAACTGAACAAATCCACAAGGGCCGTGATGAGGGTTCGAACCTATGGCCGAGAGGATCCCAGACACTGCCTTAATTTGATGCCTCACGCTATTGTGATTTGTGTGTATAACTCCTTTCCTGATTACTATACCAATCTCCCAACCTAGGATGAAGAGTTGACTTAGTTCTAGTATGATTTTAGTCACACTGCTGAACTTTCTCCAAAGCAGTGAGTCCTCTTCAAGGCGTGGGTTTTCATGCATGGATATGGCAGTCCAGATGGGCCACACAAGACTTTAATTAAGTATCCACTTGAAAATATATGGGGAGGGGGGCGTATCCCGGTCGTTAAATACAGTACTCCGCTAATCGGGTGATTTTTAAAATGTCGGTAACTGTTTAATCATATTTGAGAGAGCAACAGGATGGATGGTGGGTGGGCTGGCTGGCTGATAGGTGGGTGGCGAGGCAAGTGGACTGGATGGATGGATGGATAACTGGCTGCCTGGCAAGCAGTAGTGGGTGGTGGGGCAAGTGGACTGGCTTGTTATTGGGCGGGTGGGGTGGGTGATACCTGGTTGATGGGGTTCTGGGAGTTGTTCTACTCCCCAAGCCCGGCCCGAGGCCAGGCTTTACTTGTGAGAGCTTGGTCCACCAGGCTGTTGCTTGGAGCGGCCCGCAGGCCCACATATCCACCACAGCCCGGTTGGTTCGGCACTCCTTGGAGGAAACGAGTCTAGTTTCCTCTTGAAGATGTCCAAGGTTGTTCCTGTAATATTTCTGATACTCGCTGGGAGGACGTTGAACAACCGTGGACCTCTGATGTTCATACAGTGTTCTCTGATTGTGCCCATGGCACCCATACTCTTCACTGATTCTATTCTGCATTTTCTTCCATATCGTTCACTCCAGTACGTTGTTATTTTACTGTGTAGATTTGGTACTTGGCCCTCCAGTATCTTCCAGGTGTATATTATTTGATATCTCTCTCGTCTCCTTTCTTGTGAGTACATTTGGAGAGCTTTGAGACGATCCCAATAATTTAGGTGCTTAATCGCGTCTATGTATGCTGTATATGTTCTCTGTATCCCCTCTATTTACCTCTATTTCAGCAATCTCTCCTGCTCTGAAGGGGGAAGCGAGTACTGAGCAGTACTCAAGACGGGACAACACAAGTGACTTGAAGAGTACAACCATTGTGATGGGATCCCTGGACTTGAAGGTTCTCGTAATCCATCCTATCATTTTTCTGGCTGACGCAATACTTGCTTGGTTATGTATGCTCCCTAAACGTTAGGTTGTCGGACATCATTATTCCCATGATAGATGGATTGGGTAGATGGATTCGTTGCCGATTAGCAGGCAGGTGGCTGACTAGTTTAGGTGGGTGGATTTCGGGAGGGGATGACTGGCAGAGCAGGGCAGGGGGGGGGGGGGAGCAGTCCAAGAACACTACTGACATGAGGAATTTAAGCAGAGGAATTCACATTAGTATTTAACTATTTACATTTGGTTCTAATCATTGCATCACAGTCGGGAATCCCGGAATCAAATCTCGGGCGGGACAAATGATTGGGCATGTTTCACCTAATGCCTCTGTTCACCTAGCAGTAAAATATATATCCAGGAATTAATCAACAGGGGTTACATCCTGGGGAGTGTCAGTAGCGCTGACCTTGTGGCCTTGTGGGGTGGAGGGGAACCTTGATACTAGCCTAACGTGTATATATATATATATATATATATATATATATATATATATATATATATATATATATATATATATATATATATATATATATACACAGGCTGCTTGTCCCCGAAAATAGTTACGAGCACCAAATTATCATAACGACAACCGAGTTGTGTAACTTGGGTAATCTTTAAGACAGCAGCGATTATCTTACATAAGAACATAAGAACAAAGGTAACTGCAGAAGGCCTATTGGCCCATACGAGGCAGCTCCTATTCTATAACCACCCAATCCCACTCATATACTTGTCCAACCCGTGCTTGAAACAATCGAGGGACCCCACCTCCACAATGTTACGCGGCAATTGGTTCCACAAATCAACAACCCTGTTACTGAACCAGTATTTACCCAAGTCTTTCCTAAATCTAAACTTATCCAATTTATATCCATTGTTTCGTGTTCTGTCCTGTGTTGATACTTTTAATACCCTATTAATATCCCCCCGGTTATGTCCATTCATCCACTTGTAAACCTCTATCATGTCACCCCTAACTCTTCGCCTTTCCAGTGAATGCAACTTAAGCTTTGTTAATCTTTCTTCATATGAAAGATTTCTAATTTGGGGAATTAACTTAGTCATCCTACGCTGGACACGTTCAAGTGAATTTATATCCATTCTATAATATGGCGACCAAAACTGAACTGCATAATCTAAATGGGGCCTAACTAGAGCAAGATATAGCTTGAGAACCACACCAGGTGTCTTGTTACTAACGCTGCGATTAATAAATCCAAGTGTCCGATTTGCCTTATTACGAACATTTATGCATTGATCCTTTTGTTTTAAATTCTTACTAATCATAACTCCCAGATCCCTTTCGCAATCCGACTTCGCAATCACAACACCATCTAGCTCGTATCTTGTAACTCTATCATCATTACCTAACCTCAGAACTTTACATTTATCAGCATTAAACTGCATCTGCCAATCCTTTGACCATTTCAAAACCCTATCTAGATCAACTTGAAGTGATAGTGAGTCCTCCTCCGAATTAATTTCCCTACCGATTTTCGTATCATCGGCAAATTTGCAAATGTTGCTACTCAAACCTGAATCTAAATCATTTATATATATTATAAACAACAGAGGTCCCAGGACAGAGCCTTGAGGCACTCCACTTACAACATTTTCCCACTCTGACTTGATTCCATTTATACTAACTCTCTGTTTCCTTTGGTATAGCCATGCCCTAATCCAGCTTAATATAGCACCCCCAATACCATGAGACTATTTTTTTAATCAGTCTTTCATGTGGCACTGTATCAAAAGCTTTGCTAAAGTCAAGGTATACAACATCGCAATCCTTACCACTATCAACTGCCTCAACAATGCTAGAATAAAAAGATAACAAATTTGTTAAACATGAACGGCCATTTATAAAACCATGTTGCGACTCAATTATTAATTTATGTTTTTCAAGATGAAGACGAATTTTATTTGCTATTATAGATTCGAGTAACTTTCCCACAATAGACGTTAGGCTAATTGGTCGATAGTTAGACGCAAGTGATCTATCTCCTTTCTTAAAAACTGGTATCACATTAGCAACTTTCCAAAACTCTGGCACTCTGCCTGACTCTATTGATTTATTAAATATGGTTGACAGTGGGTCACAAAGCTCCTCTTTGCATTCTTTAAGCACCCTAGCAAACACTTCATCCGGCCCTGGGGATTTGTTTGGTTTGAGTTTTACTATTTGTTTAAGAACATCCTCCCTGGTAACTGCTAAACTCAGTCAACCTGTCCTCGTCCCCACCCACATAGACTTGTTCGGCTGAAGGCATATTGTTAAGTTCCTCTTTAGTAAATACAGATACAAAATATTTATTAAAAATACTACTCATCTCTTCATCACTATCTGTTATTTGACCTGTCTCAGTTTTTAATGGACCTATCCTTTCCCTAGTCTTAGTACGATATAACTGAAAAAACCCTTTAGGATTTGTCTTTGCTTGCCCTGCTATGCGAACTTCATAGTTTCTTTTTGCTTTCCTTATCTCTTTTTTAACATTTCTAACCAGTTGTACGAATTCCTGTTCTAAAGTGACCTCCCCATTTTTAATCCTTTTGTACCAAGCTCTCTTTTTACCTATAAGGTTCTTCAAATTCTTTGTTATCCACTTTGGGTCATTAGTATACGATCTATTCAATTTGTATGGTATACTACGTTCCTGTGCTTTGTTTAGAATATTCTTAAATAAGTTATATATTGAATCCACATCGAAATCCCCATTTAAGTCACCTATCGCTGGGTTCATGTCTCGCTCCAAGACCGGCCCACACCCCATACCTATCTTGATCAAGGTCGACCAGCCTGATCTTGCTTCCACCTCTTGCCTGCCACCAATACACAGGATGATGTTATAGATTCAGCTACTCTGAACAAGTTCCAAGTAGCACGGGCTATGGTGAGCCCGTAACTTACCTGGCACAGGAGCGGGGCAAGTTGCACAGACTTTGGTGAGCCTGTAGTGGACTTACCTGGCACAGAAGCTGTGCTCGATCTTGTGTCTTGCACAGAATGAGTATGGGGTGCATAATAAGCTACCGCTCACAGGATGAGTATGGGGTGCACAACAAACTACCGCTCACAGAACGAGTTGTGCCTCTGTAACCCTTTCCACTACCGCCCACAAGATGGGTATGGGGTGCATAATAAATGAACTAAACTAATAAGATGAGTATGGAGTGCACAATAAACTACCACTCACAGGATGAGTATGGGGTGCACAATAAACTACCACTCGCAGGATGAGTATGGAGTGCACAATAAACTACCACTCACAGGATGAGTATGGGGTGCACAATAAATTACCACCCACAGGATGAGTATGGGGTGCACA